AGAAAGACTCTGTGCCAAAAGAATGCAACGAGAAAAGTGGTCTCATGTCTGTATGTGACCAATAAATAAACCAGGACAATGTTAGAATCACTGGATACAGCCTATTCTAAATGTATTGAGACGTGTTTGCAGCGAGTTTGAAGTGTTTTCTTCGCCGAATTGTTCGTATATGAGGTTTCAGCATAAATTTCTGCGCGTTGAAGATGCTTTTTTGTTTAAGAAACTACGAACGACATTAAATATTGAATCACACTTTCGACGACTTAAGGGGTGATCTATTGAGTAGGGTTTCAGACAAACCTAATGATGAGCAAACGACCTTGTCCTTCCGGAACACCTGGTCGTATCCTCCCTTTACTTTGCAAAGGTACCTAACGTAATGTTTCATTTGTTAAAGTTTACCCGCAGATACTAGCCTCGTCTGTCAATACACCTATAATATAAGTATTATACTATAGGTGTATTGACAGACGAGGATATCATTTGGTATTTTCTTGTTTTATTTTTCCATCAAATAAGGAACACTAATTTCCAAGGATTGACAATTTTCGCAACTTTCTGTAAAAAGAAGAGTTCCATTATTTGTTAAATTCTCTGTTTAGCATTTCAAACAACGAATTAACTCTTAAGGACGTGTATGTTATGGTCAAATGTATTTTCTAGGCGGTAAATATCTTATGAACTGAAAGCATCCATCCGGTCACATACGAGGTGAAATACACTACTATTTACTGTAGGATTGAAAGATTTTCGGTCAATCTTAAATTTCAGCTTTCTCAATAACCCTAACTTAGAATTTGCTTTCCTCATAATAGAATCAATATGATTTGCAACACCCCCACACCCCCATCAGTTTTGGAAGGGTTAAATTTAACAAGCCATGAGTCCGATCAGTCATAAAGTTTTCTTAGATTATCGTTTAGAAGATCTGCACATATATCAGGTATATCAACAACAGCATATAATGACGTATCATCAGCAAAAAGTTTGATTATTGCATCTATATTATCAACAATATCATTAACAAATATAAGAAAAAGTAGTGGGCCTAGATTCGACCCTTGAGGCACTCCAGCATATACTTCTACCCATCCAGAAGATTGACCATTTATGACCACTCTCTGTTTACGATTATGTAAATATTTTTTAATCCATTGCAACAATTTACCATCAATTCCAAAATTAAACAATTTTCGCAAAAGTTTTTTCTCAAAAAACGAAAGATTATTATTAAACCTAGGATCTGAAAAATGTTTCAAAAACGCAAATTAAAATAAAATTATTAGGTCAGGTCTGGATCCATCGGTTACAATGTTTCCAGATCATTAGCAGACATTCTTGGACCGCTAGTGGGTAAATCGGAAATCCATTTAAAGAATTTTAAACATCTAGCGGAAGCTATGTCTACCATCATTATTCAGGAAGACGAAGAATTCATTTCACATGATATTGCCTCTCTCTTTACTAACACACCCATTGACGACGCCGCACTTAGAATCATTCGGAAACGCTTAGAATTAGACAGATCCTGGCGCAAAAACACAAACCTTCAGATTCAGGACATCATAGATTTGCTGGAGTTTGTGCTCACAACAACATATTTTAGTTTCCGGAACAACATCTATCAACAACGCCTCGGCACTCCTATGGGTAGTCCAGTGTCTCCCATCGTTGCCAATTTGTTCATGGAACATCTAGAACAAGAAGCAATAGCCACTGCCCCAATATAATGCAAGCCTAGCTTATGGAAACGTTATGTTGACGACATACTTGAGATAATCAAGAAGGGGCCACAGAAAGATTTGACCACACATATCAACACTATAGATGCCACTAACAACATCAAAACATGTGAGGTAGAAACCAATGGCACAATGCCCTTCCTAGACACTCTACTGGTAAAGAAATAAGACGGAGCCGTGAAGGTATTGGTCTATAGAAAAAAAGACTCATACGGACCAATACCTGAACTTTAAATCTCACCATCCTTTACACCAGCAGTAAGGCGGCCTACGCACATTTCTCAACAGATGTGATACAATAGTCACAGAACAACAGGACAAAACACAAGAGTAGAGTCACATCGCAAGGGCAATGAGAACATGGGCCCTAAAACGGGTAAAAAAACAGTGTATATCCGAAACCATCCAAAGGATATATCGAGGTCATGGCATAGCAACAGCCATGAAGCCCCACAAGACGCTTCGCAATATCCTAGTACACCCTAAGGATAAAACACGTAAAGGAAACGTAGTAGAATGCGTATACAAAATCGGATGCAAAAACTGCGACGCGTCGTATATTGGAGAAACTGGAAGGCGGTTTGGGGTCCGCCTTGGTGAACACTGGAAAGATACAGAAACCCCAAGAAGGTAGGAAATTCACCAAATCTGACCAGGGCATACTCTTTTTTGTTTTAAAAATTATTTATCTTGATGGCATGGGAAATAATCATCGGGGTTTTAAATCGTTTGTGTGCGAACTTTTAATTTGAAGGTATTGTTTTTCATACCCGATGAAAATTTCTTTCCCATGATATCAATACTTACATAACATTCAAAATTTCAAAATATGTTAAATCAGAAATGCAAAAGCAATTGAAAAGCCTTAAAGATCAAAAACATAAATTCAAGTCCCCCCTCCCCCTTGGCACACAACAAGAGATTTACATACCCTCTGATGGTAATATTTATCTGTTAATTAGCCTAAATATTTTTTAAAGCAAAATTTAAGTTTGCATTTAATGAAGAAATGACGTCATGCAACAGTATCTTTATTTGAAGATGATATACATTATCTAGATTACAAAGATACAGATAATTATATAAATGTTATCAGCACTAACAATGTATAATAATTATCTAACAGAATGTAAACGGTTTATCAAAACTGGAGGTCAAAAGTGAATTATCAAAGTTAATCTGATAAAGAAAGAAACACCTTCAGAGTTGTATTGGTTTTAATTGTACAAGCCTTTTCCACCACACAATGAATAACAAAATAGAAAACAGAACGATTCAAAACAGGATAACTTGAAGATACATATTATATATATATATGTTCCATGTAAACAGTTTATAGAAATTTACAACAATCAAATGTATGATACCGATCGGGAAAGTACCATATGGATTTCAAAGCAACAATATAGCATCTGAATGGTGTTAACAACAAGAAAGGTAACTCTTTACCTTTCAGCAACTCTGTATGTATATCATTTTATGATGAGCATTAGGTTCAAGGATATTTTATTAATTTAGTATACACCAAACGTCAAGGAACATGAGTAAACTAGTACATTTCCATATACAATGATGATAAAGTAAACTAGTACACCATATACAATGAGGATAAAGTAAACTAGTGCACTTCCATATACAATGAGGATAAAGCAAACAACAGCACTTTTACAGCATTTTGCACAGAAGTAAACAATCATGGATGTCAATACCAAAATATGTTATATTCACACAGATAAATGAAATATTCCATCAAGCCACTGTACAAGGGAAGACGTGCACTATCAAATAGGACTGAAAACAAAGCCGTACAAACGGTACATTACAGTATGCATAAGTGACAGGACAAAAATAGTTCAAGGGTGCGCAATGTAGGAAGGGCATGATACCATATTAACACACATATTTCTTTCTGATATCCAAACATACTTCCCATTTTGGGAAAATTGTTCATATTTACATAGGTGTCAAACTTCCAATGAGCGAGATCTCCCTCATGCCACATTTCCAATGAAGGAGAAAGTGTGTGAAAATGAGGGAGAAAGTGTGTGAAAATGAAAGAGAAAGTGTGTGAATATGAGAGAGAAAGTGTGTGAAAATGAGAGAGAAAGTGTGTGAAAATGAGAGAGAAAGTGCAGGAAACACGACTGAAACTGCTTTGTGCAATTTACAATTCATCTTTCCCTTTTTATGTTTAAAAGGGAGGGTTGAGAGCTATAATAGGATACACAAGGGTCTTTATTACTCAACATTTTCAATTGTGGTGACGTAAGTACATTTACTGTGTATCAATAAACCTCAACAAACTATGTACTGATCATGGTCACATCCTGAAAGTAATAAAAGATACTTCTTGCGTAACAATGATTTGCAACGATATAATCGTAAGTATAATTCCACACATTAAAATATAAATTTTCAAAATTTAAATAACAACATGCTTTCGAAACAAATTCATCTATATTCACATCACAACCATTTGTGAGCAATATTTAATGTTATATAACAAATGAATGCATCTTCAATGTAAAATCTTCTGCGATTGTATTTCTTGGTATGACCAAAGACTTTGCAAAACTCATCACTGCAATTTTATTAGAGGCTGGTAAGGCACATGATGCAGTCAACGAAATGCGTTTGATCCAAACTGAGTTATAATTGATTTATAGTGCATGAACCAATATTATAGAATATTCTTCACTTCACATTTATTTTCATGGAATTTGCTCTGCTTTATACATGTACTTTAAATTTTTCGAACAGAATTATTCTGAAATTATTGATGTTAAGTATACACAATGATTTTACAACATTAAGCATGATACTGTAAAAGAATACGTTCACAAGACATAATCTCTTTAAGTTTCTTATATTTTTAAGTACAACACCATTAGTAAGTAATCAGATATCAGATTTACACAATATGTATACTATATGAATTTTGTTCAAAAATACTAGTTTCAAATCTATTAGTTGAGCACACTTTATCAGAATTTATTTGTTTTTAAATTACTATTACATATTATATACAATGTATTTTCCCCAAAGGGGATGGGTTTATAATCGGGCATGGGCTTATCACCAATAATATACAAAAAATGTGGTGCAAGTATCTCCTGGAGCTCAAGGAAAAACGTAACAAATTATTCTGTATTAATTTTATAATAGATAATTTGCAATTAATCTTAAAACAAATCTTAGTGGAATTTTAAACTGCTCTTGTAGAAAACTCATACATGATGTCGCAACTGTCATTCCAGAATAAGATGACATACAATAAAGCAAGATACGGAAGTGACTATATACATACGTTAACATTTGTATCGAGTGAACAACAGTAATGACAACACATTGTGATTGTAGGCGTGATGAGGTAACATTTTATCAATCATTCCCAATAAATCTTATAAAAAAGAATCATCTTCTTAATGAGACAATGACTTAAGGAATATAGGAATAAACCAAGGTCATCATCAAATTTACACACTTAACTGTGTTTCTGGTTTTACTTAACTATTTGTTTTCTAATCATTGAAAAAAAAGCATCAAGTTGCTATCTTATACAGAAAATTCATTGTTAAATATGGTGGGTTTTTTTAAGTTTGAATAACCTGCCACAATATAACAGGGCCCAGTTGTTCAAAAGGTGGTTAGCTGAATCAGAGTTTAACAACATATTTCAACCTTTAATAATTTCGCCAATATACATGGTAAAATCACTCAACTGAAGTTCTGATATCTAGAAAGTTGTAACTAATTCAAAGGTTAAGTCTTATAGATACACAAAAGTTAAGATTTGCGCTAATCACCTTTTGAACCGCTGGGCCCAGAGGTTTAATTTTGTATATGATTCAGGCTCTGTAATTCAACTGATTTCAGGATTCATCCTTCCAAAATATTACAATAGGGCAATATGTCAAGGTCTGTTTTAAATCATTTCACTTCAAACATTTCAGTAAAAGTATTAGAAAAAATTATACCTATATCACAACCACACAAAAATAACACTTATATGGTTTAAAATATTTCTTATATTTTTCAAAATGGCTCAAAACAATTTGAGTACAGAAGAATATTTTTTTTGAACTTCCGAATTTCACATTGATTGTGTAATACAAAAAGTAGTTGTAAAACAAAATAAAATCAACACAGAGAGTACTTTTGGTATGTATAACAAACAAAAAATCAAAATATTACAAGCATGGCACAATTAAAATTTAAGTTTCAGAAAATGCATGTAACCATGATGAACACACAAATTTAGAGACAAAATCAAATTTCTTGTGTGGAAAAAAAAAATGCAATCACAAAAAGCAACCTGAAAGGTAACATTTGTTGGCAATACTAAATGGAATAAACTCTAACCTTCCCCTACATCTATTATTGTCTGCTGTTAATGACACATTCTAGCTTGTTTACAAGTACAACTGTTGTTGACCATCCTAAATGACAATAAAAATTATAAACGTGTTTCCTACAAACTGATAATATATGTCATGACATCAGCTCCTTACTTGCCCTCTAAAACTGTTGTTGACCAATCAATGATGGCGTCTGCTCCAAAGTTGTTCCCCAATTGTTTCTGATCCATCTAAATGACACATGCTACTAACTTGCTCTCTACCACTGTCCCTGACCCATCTTTAGCTCCAAACCAGTCCCTATACATAAATACATCTACTTAACAATATTATTTGTAGATACTATTGACATTTTGAAAATATATACGAATAAACTACTGTTTCATCTATTGCTTGATATAAATAAGTATAAGTCATTCTATAGATTTGATAAGAAAATATACCATAAATAGTAAACAATTAATATACATGTATGTCCTATCTAAATTAAAATATATTATGCATAGGAGGCCATTCACTGCAGAGGTCAACATCAATTTACCCAGATCTGGAGAGGTCAACTGGTGCTCTTGGTTGAAACCTGTCTTGAGCTTTAGCGGCCTCTGTATGTACAATCACTTGAAACTATGTATCATTGAAAGATACAAGTAACATAATAGCTCAGACATCCTATACAATGTAACTAGATCATTATTCCACAGAAAACCCATTGTAGTAACTAAATATGTTGTATTACAGGTACATTTAAAATATCTATTAAAATGGTAAGCAGATTTACGTTGACATAAATCCACACAACAATATGTGTATAGTGCAGTGTCAAAAATCAAGAATATAAAGTTACCCTGTCAAATCTGTCCTTTACTAGAAATTTATATTAAGTAATTCACTTAAAGTTACTCAATCTTTCCGCTCTATAAAATAGATGATGTAGATTGGCATAATTAATTCTGAAAATGTTGATACTGAAATTATGTTTGAACACAGTGACCAAGATTTTACAAGCGTGTTTCAAAAAGATTGTCCAAAAATATTAGGGTTGGCATTAAAAGCAAGAATATGTTGGGCGAGAAAAACAGATCTGACCTAGTTGTCTCTCGAAATACTGTAAATGATTTTCGTGTTAAATACTTGTACAGAGAGAAAACTATTGTTTGCCATTTTGCTCTTCCGTGTGCGAGTTCCTCCTATGATAGTCTAGATTCCTCTGTACACTTCCAATTTTAGTATAAGAAAATATTCAATATTAGTATTGTTTCGTACACAACCTGTACTTGAACAATAATCATTATGCTTGGTTATTGTTACGGTAAAAGTCTCCATGAGCCTATGATTATCACACATGATTTTGATCATTTACCATATGGACATATCAGAATTGTGGGCTTATAGATGATGGACACTGCATCCTAAAATAAGACTTATTTTCCTGCAGTGATAGCAGCCACAATCCCCCCACAGCACGTCAGGAAGCAGATGAGCCCCGCCAAGATGTACGTAGAAGTAATGATCCAGAACGCAAAGTAGTAACAGGTAGGATGGCAGTACAAGGGAGAGGTGTCGTTAGTACTGAAGTTACCGTAGGTACGATACACCCACACATTTCCTGTAAACAAGACAACATGATGTTACAATATTTATAAGGTAACACCCTAACCAATGTTTTAAATAAGATTACAACTTGCCAGGCGAACTGCACACATGCACATTATCTGTGCATATCAGGGTAAAAAAAAATCAAGAAGGTATCACATAGCCCTATCTAGCTAGAATAAGCCAAAGGTACTTAACAATACAGAGATTTGTAATACAAGTCATACAATCATACAGTTTGAGGATTTCACATCCTTATCAGACACTACTGGTCCTATACTACATGGATGAATATCCATTTAAGTGTTCTGTTTCACAGTGGGACAGTGCTAACATTATCTTTTTTCCATAGTGCCACCTTAGTTGAATGTCATAACACAGACACTGTAGCACCCAGCCCAGACCATTGTATACTCTAGCCGGGCTTATAGAGTTGTGTTGGCACTTTTTCTGACAATCCATGTTATACCAATTTCATCAACTGAACCTCTGTCATCTCCACGGAGGTCTGGAGTATTAACCCCTTGGCCAAAGCCATTCTCACAAGACAACAAATGGCTGCTATGTAAGGGTTAGGGCTAAGATCATGCTTACTAAACCAAGCAGGTTAAGAAGTTACTAAATACATAATATGTGATTTTGTCAATCCCCTAAAGTGAAACAAGCCACAATGCCTGCACATATTATTGACACAAAGATAAGCACCCCAAAGATGTAGACTGAGGTAATGATCCAATATGCAAAGTAGAAACAGGTGGGGTGGCAATACTGTGGGGAGGTCATGATCATGTCAGTATGGAAGAATTTTGCAGTACCTATACATTCCCTGAAAACTAGAAATCATCATGTTACCCCGGAAACAGTACACCCACACACAATCTCTGTAAACAAGAGGTCATCATACATTCTCTGTTAACAAGAGATCAATGTGTTCCCATATCCACAGTATAACATAGATGACAACTCAGGTATCAACATCAAATATACACATTATAAGAGAATTGTTTTACAGGGCAGGTGTGGGTGTACCATGTCCATAGTTACATGACAACTCTTTTGTTTACAGGGAATCGGTGGGTGAACAGTATCCATGGCAACAGGATGACTGTTGTTAACAAACATAACATAGAACATACATTAACCTTATTCAGCATTCAATTACAAAATGAGGGGTAAAATATTCATAGATAAAACTTTTATCCGAAGTTCTGGTATAAAAAAGTATCATGCTAATGTAGCAGAACTGGACTGGGTCGATCGTCGGCGACCAGATAGCTCAATTGGTAGAGCGTCCGTCCAGAGATCGGAGTGTCCCGAGTTCGAACCCTGGTCTGGCCGTTGCATTTCTCTTTCTCCTGTTACACTATGATAGATACAATGTATCTATGGTCAATGTAAACAAATAGGCATGCATGTTACCACAAACCCTATACATGATTCATTCTAAGCAATAGGGTACCATGGATACAAACTCAACATGTTCCATGTAGATACAAGACCCAACATGTCTGTTGTTAACAAGACAGTATCATGCTACCATAGATAAAAGACCAATTTAACATGGCCATGTCAACAAGCTGACATATTCAAACATAAAAAGGGTGAAACACACGTTTTATGACACTGTGGTGGAGAAAACATACAGCAAACACAATCATCCCCATAGAACAAAGATATCATTTCAGTTAATGTTAGAAGAATTTGTTTGAGTATCCTCTCTGGGCTGTAGCACGTAAATTCCTACAGAGGTTTTGTACATGCAGTAAAATATATAACTTCCCACCACAGAGCCCAATATAAGGGTATATTCTTGTAACAATCTACAAAGACCTCTCAGTGCGATGAGCAGGACTGATACATCTATCAAAATGCCATACTCATAAAAAGCAACAGACCCTGTCTATTTGCAAGGAAGGATTTTGTTTCAATCCCTGACCAGTTTGACACTTAGTGTATAGAGTAAAGGTATTACCTGCAATAAACCAGGCGAACAAAAAGCAGTTCAGTAGCATGTCTCCTGGATTAGTTTTCATATGTTTTTGGTCATCATCCTCTCCTGCCTCTTTCTTGTTCCTTATTTTCTGTACTAGACTGGACAGATTCTTGATGATCCCAAACGCCCCGGCCACCAGAAGGTAGATGGGGATATACCTCTCCACTGGACAGTCGTTCAGATACACACCTCCTGGCAACCGAGAATCAAATATGATCAGTTTAAAAGTTATAAGTGAGGATTATTTGAATATTTTTTTTCTGGGTGTGTAGAATATTTTGCAATTTTTGCCAATTTCCCAGGCAACCATATACAAAAGGTGACCCCAAAATGATCCTTATAAGATTTTTGTTGAAGCTGGCCTAAAAATATTATTAAGTGCAATAGTTATGGCTCAAACAAGAATATTGGATAATGACCTTATGATCTCGGAGGAATTCCATTCCAACCCCCCACTGTATACTGTACATGTACGAGAGCATGCTCAAGAACTGAGGTCGGAAAAGTACACAGATGGCAGAGGTATCTCAAATCAGGTTCATTGATAGATCTATCAAGTTTCTGTATGCTTTAAGTACTATGTATGAGAACTCTTTGCCTATGTACATATTGTATACTGAGGACAGATAAGCTATTTTGACCTTGGCAATGACTCCAAAATACTATTTCATTATTTTAGTGCCAAGCAAACAGGGTTTTTTGGTATAGTTCAGTTATTGCAAAAAAATACATGTATTTCCTTTTTAAATGTAGCTCAACATTTGCTAAGTGACTTACCTATGATGGTCATGGCAATGGGAACGGCCAACAAAATCCCAAATAAGATGGTACAGGCCACTGTGAAAAAAACAAATGTGTCTTAATTCATTTGTTATACATTGCTTGAAATAAGTACTGTTTTATAAAGCTGAACATGTATTTTTACATAATAATAATAATGATTCAAGGTTCTTATAAACCGCTATATCACAACCTAGTTTGTAGGTCGTCTCAAAGCAGTTCACAAATTATTATCCGTGGTTATAGGGCATTTGCTCAGCCAATATTGTTCTCAACTCCTTGTGGAGCCCATTCCCCTGAAATTATAGCTGCAAATCAGATGCCTTGGCAGCCATCTTTATTCCTGAAACTTAGAAGTTGGTCACTGAATATAAAATACACCTCCTATATTTGTCTACCACAAGGTATGAACAGAGTTGGCCCAAAGAAGTTAAAACCCTACTTGTCTTAAACTCATCCAGTGTCTTCTCAGACAGCGTCCAATCAAACAGCTTCCAATCAAATAGCTTCTAGTCAAACAGCATCCAATCAAACAGCTTCTTGTCAAACAGCATCCAATCAAACAGCACCTAATCAAACAGCGTCCAATCAAACAGGACCTAATCAAACAGCATCCAATCAAACAGGACCTAATCAAACAGCGTCCAATCAAACAGCTTCCAGTCAAACAGCATCAAATCAAACAGCATCCAATAAAACAGCTTCCAGTCAAAAAGTTGTTAGCTATAGTCAAACAAGAACCTGTTCAATGTCCCATTAAGCTAGTCTAGACATGGAACCAAACTTATCATATGTCTGACTTGTAATACAGGAGGATGAGCAAGTCTTTACTTACAGGTTCCCATCAGAATGCCCACAAAACTCTTGGCAAACTGGGCATTGTTAGCAGAGGAGGCTTTGGCAGCCTTCATCTTCCCAAACAGTGAATCGTACGATGGAGGAGGCTCTGAGAATTAAAACATGTTCATCAGCATCCTGATCATACAAACACAGAAAAAGTCATAACAATGAGTTCATTCGAAGTAAAGCAAAAATTGGAAAAATTGGAAAAATATTATTTTTGAGTTGGTATGAAATTCAAATCGTTTGAAACTACATTGTAGAATCATACCAAAGGAAACAAGCTTGTACAGCAACGAAACATGTAACAAATAGCGGTACCATGTGATCATAACTGATTAATTCCTTCAACAAATGAAAGCTGTGATAACTTAATGTTTTGCAAAATTAAGACTTGATTAAGTAGTCTTTTTATACAAATTTTGGTGACATGTCTGGTGACCAAGACAGAAATAAATATTAAAATTTCTCCGATTCTACCATTATAGCCATTAGCACCATAGGGAGGAAGGCCCTCAGGCATGTCCACTGCAGACTCGTCCGTGGCTGTGGCATTGTAAGATGGAGGTGAGTCCTTGTAATATGACAGAAAACAAGTTCAGTTAACTTTAAAACACTCAAATCTAATTCAAAACCTATAGCTATCACTCATAATGGGCTTACACCTTGAGTGTAACAAAATAAACGATACATACAATTATATATCTAAATATAGCTGGGTAGTTCAATGCAACTTAGACCTTATAATTAGATGTATAGTAGCTATGTTGTAACATTTACTCACTCAAGTCATAATACACATACCTTGAACTATTAACCTGCTCAAAAGTTTCATTTTATACATTGAATCTGTGTAGGACATTTCAGTGAAACTGATATGAAGCATGATGTAGCAAAGCAATGTGACATTATTTTTTAACAAAGAGCATGCTTCTGACCACACCACAAGCTTTTTATACCAACCTCATAAGCTTAAGACATATACTGTTTCTGCATAACACAATACTAAATTTTACCTTTTGTTTCACTTGTGAGAGAAATTTGAAATCATATTCTAGTCTACACATCTGTTTAAATTCAATTAAGTGTAAGATGATGTGCTATTGGAGGATATTTTCTTTGAAATGTTGGAATACAAATACATACTTAAAATAACATTGTGAGAGACAGGCCCTACCGGTAATATATGCTCACATGAGTTTCATGGGCCTGAATGTTACAGAATATCTTTCTATAAAGTTTATTATCGATCACTGCAACTATTCTCGAGAAGCAGAAATATTTCAGCTAATCTTAAGGCAAAGAATCTATCATCAATTATCACATCAAAATGAAAAGGGAACAGTCAGAATCTCCTACAGAACATCCATATCTAGTTTGAAGTCAATCACTGTAGTTGTTCTTGATAATTGAAACTGTCACAGCCAATCAGGTGTTGGCTTTTGTGGAATTTAAGATTGACACGAAAAGTAAGAACACTTGGAAAGAACCTCATACAGAACAATTATAACAAGTTTGAAGTTGATCACTGTAGCTGTTCGAGGGAAGAAGTCGAAAATGTCTCAGCCATTCAGAAGACAGATTGGTACCCAAACGGAGAATAGGGTGCTCATATAGAACTTTTGGATTGTCATGAAAAAAAAAAACACATGGTTGTGACCTACTAAGGAACAAGTACTAATTCTGGAGTTATTCATTTCAGCGGTTCTTAAGGAATTGAAAATGTTCAATTGGTAACACACGACGATAAAGAAAACGAATAGCAATAGCTTACATGATAAATCATGTAAATTATAAATCTGCACCAGTTTAAATGATACCCATGATATATCAATATATGATAACATCATGTAGGGAGCTGCAATTTACAGAATTGATACAAATTGTGGTATTATTTATAAATACAAAGCAGCTACATCGCTATGCATTAACTAGTCTGGTTAATACAGGTACATATCAGGGTTAACACTCAAGTCTGTAATATACAGCTGACAGACACATGATGCATTAACTAGTCTGGTTAATACAGGTACATACCAGGGTTAACACTCAGTCTGTAATATACAGCTGACAGACACATGATGCAGAAACTAGTCTAGTTAATACAGGTACATACCAGGGTGAACACTCAGTCTGTAATATACAGCTGACAGACACATGCAATAAGGACTAGTTAGTTCAGGTAAAAAGTAATAGTACTGCAAGTCCAGGTGAGTATTATGATATTAGAAACAAGTGCTAATTGTAACAGAGACTGTTGTAAATTCTTTCAAATCTGGGCAAAAATATAGCTGTCCAAAATGGAATTACATTAAGAGCAGATTCTACAAGTATTTTTATTTATACTATTTCAATGTTAACACTATTCTTACCTCAATTTACTACAATTGCTGAGGCACGAAGAGAAAACAAACAAATCTGATAAAGATTAAATTGGAAAACTTAGGAAAAAAATCATTTAGGGCTACCATAGAAAAAAGAAGAGAGAGTACAATCATCTAATATGTAATAATGTACAAAGATATGACAGTTGAACTATATACTGGTAGTTTTTTCAGTATTTGTAAAAAGAAAAATATGTCATATTCATTCTGAATGAGGTGTCCTGTTTTTCCACAAGGCAACTCACCCATTTGAGTAAAATGTTGTAAATGCTAGGTATTTTGTTAAAAATGACAAACACATGGAATGCAAACTTCAATTGAGATAAAAACCAACATTTGTAATGTGCAGAATAATGTAGAAATCTAAATCTTCAAAAGAAAAATTCTCAAGAAAATGTAACAATAATAGCTATTATAAAACCACTTGTAGATAATAATATATAAGATAGCCTGAAATAACTGACTATCTCCCTTAAATATCTGGTGTCTCTGACTTGTATAAAAGGGAAATATATATCAAAAACAAGCTTGCACCCATTTTTGAAAATTTTCCTTAAAAACATCTACAAATGTTGAAACAGTCCTGTTTACAAATCAAAACAAAAAAAACTGAAGAACAAAAAACAGTGGTTTAACTTAAAGGTACCTGAAAACAAAAGTGCAGAAATGTTAGGTTTACTAAAGCTATTAGTACAGTGATAATAACCCAGGCCAACACTCGCTGAGATACATAGAAATAAACATCAGAAAACTTGGGATATGCATAACGTTAATTCTACTACTAAAAACACAATCCTATTTGATTTACCTGCATCACTGCATTACCATCACTGGGTGCCTAAAAAGAAGGAATTCACTTAATGTCACATAATTAATGTAAAAAGCAGTTACAAGCATGTTAACTTTACATTTACAAGCAGTTAACTTTAACACTGGCAAAATATGCTAACTTCAGCATGTATGGCCCAATCTATCTATTTCAGCAACTGTTATAGCTGCCAGTGATTGAAATTTGTCGTTAACCAGGAAGCTCACTCACAACTTTTGTTCTCTTAATCAGATATAATATGAATGAACATCTGAGCAAATGAATCAGAGAAGATACTCACAGTAGAAGACAAACAATCAGTGATACATGGACTAAAGGGATTTGTTTTTAACAACATCTTGGTTAATATCATTGTACTTTTAAGAGAGGCAAACAGATCTGCATCCAGAAATTTTCAAGTAAGGGATATTTTAAAGGTGTCAGGTTGTTTCGCCCTAACTCAAAATTGCCTTAGGTAGTTTCTTGCTAGGTTGATTCACTCTAAAACTACTTTTAAGGCGAAGCTTAAGCTTTTTCAGGCATGTTAAGTAGTGTATGGCTACTAAAATCACATTTAAAGATTTCGTTTGACCCTTACAATTGGTCAAGATCTGCACATAGCATAATGTGTTACATTTGAAAATCTCCTGACAACGCAATTATTCATGAAACACAAAGTTTTAATCATTTAAAAATTTAAATTGATATTTATAACTTAAGAATATATATTTATAGTAGGGCAAAACAACTTTAGGCAAACTGGATTAAGGTTCAAATGACCCATGGTGCAAATAGGATTTAGGGCAAAACAACCCTAATCCTATTTTAACTGGCATATTAAATACATGTATATTTATACGAATGAAAATGTTTAGTTCAATTTGCAGCCATGGTGCAGATCAATTTAGATTTCAAAAAGACCCAAACGATAAAAATCTTATGATAAGGGCAGTTATAAGCAGAAAATTTGAACCACCAACACAGTGACACTTTAGAATCAAAATATGTCTCAGCCAATGGAAGGTAAAGGTGGCCATCTTGAATTTTCTATTCCAGACAACAACAAAACAGTTATTTTGCCATTAAAAAAAACACATGAATGTTAAATAAGTCTAAAGAGACCAATAATTACAAATTTCAAGAGAAATTTAGCCTGACAAATTGATGTATATCCCTCAAACCATTTTCTGAAGTGGCATTTCTTTAGTTGATGATTACAGTAGACGGTATATTTTTGGCTATTCGACATACACACACACACACACACGCACACACACACACACACACACATACTCTAAATACACATATACCAGTATTACGATTATAGGTTTCGTGGAAGGGAGACTGGGTGGGGATTCAGCAAAAAAGAGTACTGAAATCAAAACTCTTTAGTCGGAAAGCACTGTCAGTACTGAAACGAAAGTAAGGTGTGACTAAGGCATACGTCGTTCTTTCAAATAAAGTTAAACGTATTGCTACCTCCGAATATTTTTATTCCTAACTTACCAATTTGGTTTCTTCTTCTGCCATTGCTTGAATTAGGTTTAAGTTTAAGCTTAAGAAATATAAGTTTCAGCAATTTCGTTTCCGCGTTCATGCAACCTAAACCAAAGCGTCCTTATGACTTTGACTGCTTTGTCGAGGCTAGGCCTAAAGTTCGGATAATTAGTAATCCGCATATTTTTAAGGTTAAATAAGACAAGTAATTTTAAAGTCCTTTTATATCATAATAAGGTTAAAATGGATAGCATATCATATATCATCAGATTTGCTGGAATGGATTTTTTCCAATAAAGGAAAATGGAGTTAATATTAACATCCATGGGCACGACAGAAATGCATCCATCAACAAATACCTGAATACTGAGCAACCTACTGTGACAAATGCAAATGACATTTTGCATGCAACAAAAGGCATTGCGAAAGTGCTGAAGGTGGTGACAACAGGACCAAAAAAGATGCATGGAGTTACGTGACATAGTGAACTTTCAGTGAAATACCAACAATGGCAATTATCACAGTGATAATCTTAAATAAGTATTTCTACAAACAAAATCGTATATATACTCACAGTAGATACTCTGTAAATGGTTTATTTATTTATATCTGTCACTATATTTCTAGCATAGTGATTTGTGTACATGTGTGAAGTGGAATTAATGTAGTAATATTCAGGGTTGTTTCATTTCGAGGACATTGTGTAGGTATGTATATAATATTCTCAGTCAAAATTATACAAATAAGCAGTGTGTGTTGTTTCTTTGTTTACCAATTAAGATAATTTTATCAAAATAAGATCATATCATATTTAAGTATGTTAATATCATTACAGAATATAAAAAAAATCTAGATTTATAAAGAAACTATCTCCTTGTTATACTTGTACATGGTATGTGGTAATCATTGCCATAGCAGTGGTCACTCATCTATGAGACAAAGATCGCCTATAGCTATCGGCCAGCATCAGACCCTTAGTTACCACTGTCACGTGCCCGTGTTTGTATTGCTGCCAACCTCCAAGATCCCCCTCCTTCAATTACACGCTTGACTCCGGTAGGGGCCCACATTTAGCCGGTCTTTATATCGTATCTTCAAATTCCAATTTAAGTAACATGTATGGCAAGCCAGCTTAACATTTATTCAAGGTGCAATGTCGATCCTGTATTTCATCGAATTATATAAGATATCTAATATAATTATATAAGATATCATATATACAATAAAGATATCTTATATCTATATAGTATATGAGATATCTTATATAATATATAAGATATCTTATATAATTGAAATCTCGTTGCTATATAAGATATCTGATATAGAATGAGATTTCGTGGCATTAAAAACCAGAAACTAATTTCTCCCTCGAGAATCATTCGGAGCACATTCAGGATTGCATTGGGCGCAATGGCGGAGAGGGATGGTTCGATGGTATTGAACAATGTATTGAGAAGGTCGAACAGTTCCTTACAACAAGCCTACTGTCCCTACGTAGATCCTCGAGATATTCCGGACGGGGAGCCTTCATTTTCGAAATTTTGTTAAAATCTCGTTCCTATATAAGATATCTTATTTAGTAACGAGACTTTAATTATATAAGATATCTTATAAAGCTATATGAGATATCTTATATGTTATATAAGATAACTTATGTAGAAAATTAAATTAGATATCTTATATACGATATAAGATATCTTATATATCATATAAGATATCTTATATAGCATCTCATTTAATTTCTATATAAGATATCTCATATAGTATATAAGATATCTTATATATTATATAAGATATCTCATATACTACATAAAAAATTCATTGGGAATTTACTTTTCAGTATGATAACGCTTTGGTTGCGTTTTTGGTAATTATTATACTTTTAATGTCTCCACCCAGGGTAGAACCAGAGACTTCTGACTTACTAGGATGAATTCACCATTTCTAAGTCGGTAGAACGCGCGTAATTGTTTTAAAATACATGTTAAATTACATATTTCATGGAAATTATATGAATTTGAGCTTGTAAATGTCATGCTTTAAGGACCGGATCGTCTAATTTTAAATATAAGTGGAAGGCATGGCAGACCTATAATATAAATTCTTGCCGTGAATGAAATAACTCCAGCCTTTAGCTATTTTTGTCATAACGTGCTTTGTCACTGAAGCGCAACACGTTTCCATTTTTCCTTTTCACTTATTTTTTTTAAGTTAAATCGTAAATTGACAGGACTATAACTTAAATTAAAAGCACTAAAGCCGACTTAGACAGCTGGGACAGTCTCTATAGTTCTGGCACCGACCTTGAGCTAGAGAGCCATTGTTTGCTGACTCTTTGGGGACAAGACGATTAGTTCCATCTTTTCCTGATTAAGTTGGCGTTCATCCAGGTACTGATGTCTGTCAGACAGGCTTCCAGATTTTCTTAAATTGTATCATAACTGTCCCTTGGTTTTATGACCATGTAAATGTGTGTGTCATCAGCATAGCAATGATAGCGAAGGCTATGGCGACGACAAATCTCTCCGGTCGGTTTGGAATAAAGGCAATATTTTCTTGGTCTTAATACCCATGGGGGTAACCCGATACTCGCTATTTCGCTTACGTCAGAGTAATACTCGCTGTTTGGATTACGTCGGAGCAAAAAGCTAGTTTTGCGCCAAATACGGCTTACGGCAGAGTAAAATGCTCACATGTTGGAAGAACGTGAGAGGTATTTATGCGCATTCTTGAATAAATACTGAAAACTTACCATTGTAACTCAGTCGTTGTGCTATAAGTATGTCTTAAGCTGCTATATCAATATTTTAATTTTTAGATTGAATTGGTTTTGACTGAATAATCATATATACATACCGACATCGGTTTACATACAGCTTTGTGGAGATTTGAATGTAATAACTATATAATTAAATTACTTTTACGCAACGCATGTTTTGGCCAATGACCTTTCAACAAAACAACATTAAATAGTCTGAACTAAACACAAGTTTCAGCGATATGTATGCTCATTTACAAACTGGAATGATACGGATTACGGTCAAACAATCATATTTTATTTAACTGAAAATCAATATTTTAACATTTTTTTGAATTATTACACAGCATCACATAGGAACACACTGAATGTTTAAAATTGACTTTCTTAATTTTTCTAGATCTGAGACTTCCCAAAAGTTTAATTTTTTCTTCTTCTGGGTTTTAGTACCACACTCATTCCAAACTTGGCCGTCCTTTGGGGTAGATGTGCATCAGTTATATAGACCGAATATGTTTGTAATTAGGAAATCTAGACAGGTGCTATCGGAATAAAATAATTATCAGACAATTATATAAATTTACACTCTTATTCATATCATATATATTTCCTTCACCACACACTGCAGCTCGCTCATGTATGGTGTGACTATCAAAAAACAAAATCACATGACTAAACAAATGATGTATGTTTCCAATGGAAAATTCTATTGTCAAATGAAAAACAATTATTCTGTCTCGGCATCACTTTAGTTCAACTAACAGGTTATAATTAATAACTAGAAATTTAAGAAAAAAACTTACATGGTAAGCTGCTTAATAAGGGGCAGTAACTCCTATTTAAAGAGAGGGAGTTCGAAATGCTCGGTGACGCGACCTCACAACCTTTAATAACTAGAACTGTAAGCCAAAGGCTAACTATAATACCCCCGCTCCTATATAAACCAGAACTGTAAGCTAAAGGCTCAGTAAGGTAAAGCAATCCATTGTCTCCCACCAGTAATGATTTATTTATTCACCGAGCTATACACTTACTAAATAATATAGGTAACTGACATACTTTCTGTACTCCTTCCAAATGGCAAAACAAACTTGCAAACCAAATCTTGTTAGCCCAAATGAACCATTCAGTTTTGTTGAAATCGTCATAGTAGTTGAGGGTGGGCCATAACTCTTTAAAAAGAGTCGAAATGAAAATAAGATACTACCCTGATGCACGACATTAGAGGGTAATTACCATATCTGTAAACTTTAATTGAAATCGGACCAGGAGTTTAGGGGACAGACAAAGTGTGTTTTTCAACAAAGGACCATAACTCCTTTTAAAGGGTCGAAATAGAAAAGTACTACTTGGATGCACAACATCAGGGGGCAGTTACCATATCTGTAAACTTTGAAATTGGCCGAGTTGATTAGGAGAAGTTGTCAGGAATAGGAGTTTTCACGAAAGGGCCATAACTCCATAAAAAGGTGTCGGAAAAAAATACCTGGATGCACAACATCAGGGGGAAGTTATCATATCTGAAAAATTCCGTTGAAATAGACCCACAGGTTTGGAGGAGTTGTCTGGACAAATGTTTTTTCAACAAAGGGCCATTACTCCGTAAAATAAAAGTGAGAATGAAAATATAATACCTGGATGCACAATATCAGGTGGTAGTTATCATATCAGAAAACTTTCGTTGAAATTAGAAGGAGTTGTCCGGACAAAGATTTTTCAACAAAGGGCCATAATTTTGTAGATAAAGGCTCAAAATGAATAAAAATAAGTCCAGAAAGCACAACTTCAGGTGGTAGTTACGATATCTGAAAACTATCGTTAAAATTGGCCCCGTAGTTTTGAAGGAGTTGTCCGTACAAAGATTTTTCAACAAAAGGCCATAATTTTGTAAATCAAGGCTCAAAATGAAAAAAATAAGTCCTGAAAGCACAACTTCAGGTGGTAGTTACGATATCTGAAAACTTTCGCTGAAATTTGCCCCATAGTTTTGAAGGAGTTGTCCGTACAAAGATTTTTCAACAAAGGGCCATAATTTTGTAAATCAAGGCTCAAAATGAATAAAAATAAGTCCAGAAAGCACAACTTCAGGTGGTAGTAACGATATCTGAAAACTATCGTTAAAATTGGCCCCGTAGTTTTGGAGGAGTTGTCCGTACAAAGATTTTTCAACAAAGGGCCATAATTTTGTAAACAAATTAACAAGTTGTCATAGAGACTGTTTCCATGGAGATAAACTTCTAAACGCCGGGACACAGCTTTTTTCAAGATTTTAGACAGAAAAGGTAAATTTGATACTAGGCGGTAGTTCTTCAACTCCTCCTTGTCCATTCCAGGCTTCTTCAACAATGATCTAACATGTGCCTTCTTGAAACATAATGGAACTTTTGACTCAGCCAATGATTTGTTCATAATTGAGGTAATCAAAGGAAGCAAAGCTTCAAGAGGTCTGTAGGAAGTGGATCAAGCTCACAGGACTTCGATTGTGAGGTCATAATGATATTGCGCAACTCGTCCTGGTGAGAGCTTTGTGAATGGTTCCCCATCACATTTAATGTCAGCAGTCATGACAGAGATGTCATTGTCAGCAGTAAAGTTAACTTCGCCAATATTTTTCCTGGTCGTGTTGATTTTATTCAGAAAGTAATCACTGAACTTGTTTGACAAGTACAGCTTGGCAGGATGATTTCACCTTTCTGACCCATTAGGTTTTTCGTGAGTTTAGAAAGCTGCCTATGGTCCTTAACACATTCTTCGAATCTTTCCGAATAATAAGCCTTCTTTGATTGAATGAAATGTGAGACAACTAGCCGACATTGTTCCCTATAAATCTGTTGGTGAACGGTTAATTTTGTATTTCGCAACCGTCTCTCTGCTTTTTTGCGGTTCTGTTTTCCTACGCGGAGATTTTCGTTATACCACGGGGCAGTAGATTGAAGGGCAGAAGAAGACTGAATGCCTTTGGTGAAATCTGGTATTGAAATTTCGCGGAATTTCCGGAAGTCACCTCCTTCCTTGCACGACCTGGCTAACTACAATTCAGTTTTGCTTGGACAGCAAGGTGGTCACCAGATTGGTTCCTTTTTACATCACTTAGACATGGATCAATCACTGAAATTGTTCCGTGAGTGACCGGGTTATCTCCCTTTGTTATGACCACATTCAGTGTGTGTGTGTGTGGGGGGGGGTGTTAGCTTCTATCACATACTGAATCAGACCCCTGGAATCTTGTAGCCCAGAGAACTGGCGAGCATCAACATTAAACAGATCGTCTAAGTGGACATTTAGGTCACTCGTGAAAAAAATATCTTGTGGTACAACAACCTGATGGTCTAAAAAGGTAGACCACTATTCAAAAAACTTCATTTCGGAAAGAGTTCTGTTTAGATGGAGGAGGCCATGTAAATGATACACTATCTGAATTGTTTATAATCAGCAATGATAGAGTAAGTCATGTGCTCAAAGTGTGTACATGCATCATGTTGGCCGGGAGAGATATGTTTCACACTTAGGCCTTTCTTAAACAGAACAGCCACCCCACGACCACGTCTGCCGAGTCTAGTATTGTGAAGCAATCAATAGCCTGGTATTAGTGTATAACAACTGAATCCGTTTCCTGCTGCAATGGAAACCTCTGGGATATAACCATCAAGGAAATAGTCAAAAGGCAGTGCGTGAGATGGATCCATGCAAATTTTAATTCAGTCGATGTTGATGAAGTTACGTCGATCGTGGAATAATCAATGCCGTAAAAAAGTAATGGGTTAACTCCATTCTTTTGACTATCCATTCAATGACTATCAACGAAAGTCAAAAGACCCATCATAAGACACTAAAAACTTTTACTAAGTTCATGCTACAAGGGCATCCTTAGCTGACAAGGCACTGAGCCCACACCAACCTTCTCTTAATGAGCTGTGCAATCTTAACCATTATACTGTCACCGTGTTCAGGAAGGCGCATGTACTAATACACATACAACGGATAACTCGTGTGTTTGATATGCATGTCATTTATACTAGATCTAAATCATGTATCCTAATACTGTATTCAATGTGAATTCATTCCACTTCTAAGTAACCAAATAAACCAAAAAGTCGATGATTGTTTTTCAAAATATGATCAGTTTCGTGCTGTAACTTATAATGTGTTAAGATCATTGTAAAGTGGGATGTACAGGAGAAAACGTTTGTATTCAACAACGTTTGATATGTTATTTAGATATTTTTCCAGCAAATGCTTATTATGGCGACCTGCATCGATCTTTAAAACAGTCTTTCAGTTTAAATATCGTCTTTCCAGCAAATGATTTTTATTTCGACCTGCATCGATTTTTAAAACAATCTTTCAGTTTAAAGATCGTCTTTAAAGTCTGCACTAAGTATCATGCTCGTCACTTCTGCTTTCTTCCTCCATTTAACATTCCAGACTTTCAGAAAACTTTTCCGTAATCCTGCATGCCCTTGATTTGAATCCTATGTTGTTTGTGTATGTAAGACGGACGAGAACCATGTCGAACATCATTATCATGCATGTATACGCCATACATACACAGACATCAAGTAATAAAGTCTTGCACCATTAAGGCAGTGGTAGCATTTCTTCGTCGAAAGAATGATTAAAACACACTCGGTGATTCCGTCCATTTCTGATATTACAGCATCATAAAACGTTTGGTTAATGGCATCCGGTATTATTTATTTATATTTTAGAAATTCTGGTAGTAGGCAGAACTCATATCCTTTATTTCATAATCATTCAATAGTATTGGGTTTGTGGTATGATCAGATCATGGAGTATATTTCGCTGTAAATCTTAAGTGACCTTTATAGCCCGAGTTTCCTCTGGCACTGACACCAGACTTAGACATTGTGACATATAGATACCAAACCAGACATCTATCTGTCAAAATGTCTAAGTCTGGTGTCAGGGCCAGAGTAAACTCGGCCTAGTGACCTTTAGTGATTTCTTGAAGTCATGATTTGTAGCAGTGTGGTGTTGTGGTGTATTCATTGTGAACGTCAAAACTACACCCGGATGACCAGTAAAGGTCGGGATTAGACATAGGCGGTATACTACAAAAGCCTCACTGAGGTGTATTCAAATGATCAATACAAGTATTGACCACAGGGTCAGTGTGTACATAGCCGTGTCCTAGTTTACTCGACCACAGGTCAGAAACTATAACCCTACGCTAACACTGGCTCAGCAATATCTTAACAATATGTAAAATTCGCATCAAGATAACGTCCATATCTACTTAAGATGCAACTGGATATTGGCTTGACATGTATAAAATTTACATGAAAACTAAAACTAATGTTTATTGAAAATCTATTTTGCGTTTGTGCGACGCTACTTGGAATACTTTTCAGTGTCCATAGTTTTGTTCTAATACCTTTATGAAACAAGAGATTCCAGAGGGATCTTGGCGCCCACCTTTGTACCATCTTCATTAGTTCTTTGTTAGTTCGATCTTTTCTCTTCTTTCCTCTAATCTGTTTGATCGAGTCATGTTAACAGTAAATGCACCTTGAGGTAACTTTTGATCTAAACTTATTACTGATGTGTATGAAAGCCAACCTTCAAATTGAGTTTGTCATTTCACATATTTACTAGTACAGTACTTAATGTGAAAGAAATAGAATCGATCATTGCAATATGAGAAAGATCTGTTTAGTTCTTCTTTTAATCCATTTTGTTTTTATGATCAGTCTCAAAATATAACATACACAACGAGGGATCAAGGGGAACCTACATTTAAAATTTGAGAAAGATCCCTCCCGTACTTCCCGAGAAATAGCGATAACAAACTTTCACTATCAAAATCCAAGATGGCTGCCTGTCGGCCATGTTGTTTATCCGATCAGTCTCTAAAATTGCCCTGCACAGCTAGGACCAAGGGGAACCTACATATAAAATTTAAGAAAGATCCCTCTAGTTCTTCCGGAGAAATAGCGGTAACAAACCTACAATATCAAAACCAAAGATGGCTGCCTGTCGGCCATGTTGTTTATCCGATCAGTCTCAAAAAAATGCCCTGCACAGCTAAGGACCAAGGGGAACCTACATATAAAATTTGAGAAAGATCCCTCTAGTAGGGAAAACTACATATAAAATTAAAGAAAGATCCCTCTAGTTCTTCCGGAGAAATAGCGGTAACAAACTTTCAATATCAAAACCAAAGATGGCTGCCTGTCGGCCATGTTGTTTATCCGATCAGTCTCAAAAAAATGCCCTGCACAGCTAAGGACCAAGGGGAACCTACATATAAAATTTGAGAAAGATCCCTCTGGTACTTCTTGAGAAATAGCGATAACAAACTTTCAATATCAAAATCCAAGATGGCTGCCTGTCGGCCATGTTGTTTATCCGATCTGTCTCAAAAGTTGCCCTGCACAGCTAAGGACCAAGTGGAACCTACATATAAAATTTGAGAAAGATCCCTCTAGTACCTCTTGAGAAATAGCGATAACAAGAATTGTTTACGGACGGACGACGGACGACGGACAACGGACGGACGACGGACCACGGACGCAGGGTGATTTGAATAGCCCACCATCAGATGTAAAAGGAGGAGATAATTTTGCAATATTATCCGGATATGACATCTAAATGTTTAACTAAAGTTGACTGTCTGTTCAGAGCGCTGGATCACAGCTCGGTCTTTGCTTTATTGTTGTGTATATTAGGAAGCTCGTGTAACAGGAAGTTCATCCTTTTCTCAAACAGGTTCTGGCCCTGGACAGGCTTGAACGTGAGTTCCAGGTAGTCCCTTGACGTAGAACTAAACTGCTCCCACGGTACCAGACTTCCGCCGTTCGGATTGCTAAGCAAAACAATACACGCATGAAAGCTTTCACATTCATTCATAAACTTTCTATAATTATGTAGAAAAAATATCTACATGGACTTAAAGATCTGAAATATCTTTCTTGTGTGTATAATCGTGATTTCCCTGAATCTCAAATCAATACTGAACACGTTACTAAATTGAAAATGTTTAGATTTACTACACTGTCATTTCATGCGTCCTTGGGAATTTTCTTGCAAAACAATATCTGGCAAAAGTAAGTATTTATCAGTATTTTCCTGATATGTTAAAATATAAAATATAGTTTTGTGTTTCGACACTTACCCTGTTTTTGCGAAGTTTGTCCAGTACGAAACTAAAACATCAGTGAATTCCCTGCCCTCATCCGTGGCAAGCGACTCGTCATTCTGGCTGGCCGGACCAAACATATAAGGAAGTTCCATGCCATGGCCGGCACCCATCCCATCAATCCAGGCTGGTATGGGAAACAAGAAAGTAAAACTGAGTTCCTGACTGTAGACGTAATGGTAGGTATTAGAAGATGTCCTGTCTTGAGCATGGAATTCAACAAGTTGTAGAGCCGGTGCAACAAAGCAGGATTCTGCATACAGATAGTTGATATTCTTACTTTGTTGCAGCAGGTCGTCTGAGCTGTACTCCTTGCAGATGGCGTCTGAGAGAGACTCGTCTCCATACATATCCCTGGCAACAGCTGGTCCTAGCACATCACAAAGTACAGGGGTCGGCAGTCCCTGCTCCATATCAAACTGCATTGATTCCTGATGCTCAGCAAACATGTACGTAGTGAGCGACCCTTCGTTGCTTGTGGTTCCCGCTATCACATCTAAGGACCGGAAGAAGACTGACACGTCTGAGTTGGGATCCCGAAGACTGTCAATGGGCTCCTGATGAAACAATTCACCATCCACAACCGGCCAAAGCACTGATCGTTACGAGAAATATCCCAGGTACTCAACGTTCAAGGTGGGGTCCATCTGGACCTCCAACAGTTCGTCGGCTGTTTTCTTCTGGAAGCACTCCGTTAGCAAACCTCCAGCAGACTCGCCAAATATGGTCACTTTGTCAGGATCTCCACCGAATGCGGCAATATTACGATTGATCCATTTCAGAGATTCAATCATGTCCCAGATAGCAAAGTTGCCCTTGATGACATCATCCCCAGTACTAAGAAAACCAAATATGCCCAGACGATAGTTGATGCTGACGACGATGACGTCCTTGAGTGCCAGGAATGAAGGATCATCTGCCGCGGCCTGCCCTATCAAAAACGACCCGCCATGGATATACACCATCACGGCCTTTTTCTCAGAGGTAGATATGGCACGTGGTACGTACACGTTCAGTTGTAGACAATCTTCCGACAGTTCCTGGTTCTCCAGTCTCTCCCACACGCCTTCCAGTAGATCTTTAAACTGTACACAAGAAGGTCCGAATGCTGTTCCGTCCAAAGGCTTTGTCCACGGTTTGATTGGCTCCGGTTTCCGGAATCTCAGCTCACCTATGGGTGGTTTTGCATACGGAATGTTTCGAAATTGAATGACATCTTGTCCAAGGGCTGGGACGACAACACCCCGTATTGGTCCGGATGGCGTTACAACGATAGGGGGAGACTGACTCGCGGCATGCGCAACCAGAAGCGATGACACGAATAAAGTCAGAAAACTTGTCATCTTCACGAATAACCTGAGGATGGTAAGAGATATCTATGAATTGGAAACATTTCAATTTTATCAGTCTTGCGAATGCTTAATAAAGTGTCTAAACCTCCCGAGTATATTCAAAAACTATTTCAATTTTAAGCAGATATTTTAAAATGTAATAGCAATGGTTTAATCATGGATTTAAATTATCAGAAATTTCTTAAGAAAATGTTCTGAAATGACAATTTGTTTATTTATTATAACATTTTCAAATGCATTTTGCGTTACTGATTGTACCCCGTGATGAAATTCGGCCTGACAAACAACTGCAATTTGATAACATATACCAGGAAAACAAGTTATCATGCCATCTTCAAAATACTTGGCCTAAATACTGACCGCTCCGGTACGTATATACCCGACCGTTAATGCCCGGGTACCCACCGTGATAGATAATGTTCATGTGCGTACGCTGGTGATGTTATCAACACTAACATACACATGTGATGTGTAAAGAAAGTTTAGAAGTAAGAAATATCACAATTTACATACTTGTTATGGGCCCGTTCTGGTTTTACACTGCCATGTACTTGTATTGCCAGTTAACACACCGCGGCCGTCGGCCAGAACTGCAATGTGTAAGTATGGTACTCGGTAATACAAACAAACACATGTAGAATATATAAATGTATAAGGGACTCCTCTCTCTGTGCGACAGACTTTATAATATAATTAAAACTGTTTTAAAAATCCAGACTTTTACAATTATGTGTATCGTAACCTTACTCTGCTCTCCATTACAATGGTTAGAACAGTCTGTTACATCGTCCCTTTTAAATGTCACATCATTTAGTTGCTCATTGCAACCTCAAAAAGACGAGATCATTGACCAGAAAGAACACGCACGATTCAGTGTAACATTTACACCTCGGGTTTTAATCTTATCCCTCGGGCCTAGATTTCTCATTTCGTTTTCTCTTGCCACAAAAGTGGGGCATTATTTTCCCCCTCACATCTTATGTTTCGGAAACATAATGATTTATGATCAAAGCATTTTGCTCATTGTGACAGTCATTTTGATTGATCCAAAGAACGGCTCCCTGTGGTTTGCATTCTTAAACAGTTACCAAAAGTCAAGCAACCATCATCTATAAACACAAGGAAATGACCAAAGCTTCACGTCTAGAAGAGAAAGTGCAAATGCTTTAAATTGACATGGAAATCAAAATGGAGTATACCTGGCCCCAGGAGCATTAAATGAATTAAAATTCCAATTAATTATTATCAAACTGACAGTAGTAGTATTTCTAGGATGCGGACGTTGCCAGCTAACACCGAGAGGACATTGGATACAGCAGAATATATGAAGTTCATCCCGGTATCATCCTCGATATCCAGGGGTTACGCTTACTTTCGCTCTCTACACCCCTGGAATATGTCGTGGCAATATTGAAGGCACGACAATAGCTGTTTGATTAGTCTCAGGTAAAAAAAAAACCTGACCAATCGCTACGCTGATACCTGTCCTTTGTTGATCACAAAGGACAGACGCCCGATTTCAAAGCCTGTCAATTTTTACCGTTACGTGACCGCGAGATTCTTTTGATGTACATCAAAGGATCGAACTAATCTTCTTGTCTCATCAACAAGGTGGCGCACGCCGAGCCATCAATTTTGCCATGACATATTCCAGGGGTGTAGAGAGCGATTATGGAGGATGTCCCGGTATAAGTACTGAGAGTTTCATTGGAGAAAAGTGAATTTCCATTATTATAAACACTCGGTGGGTATGTTTTTGTCGGGTGTTGACCAACGCCTCTTCTTTATCTACAAATCGGTTGGAATATTTTACACAGTGTTTATATATTTACCATGGCTTATGGTAAATACTGCGACGTCCAGGTCAATGAAAATATCTGCCTCGACGTCTCTAATGCTGCTCACGAGGATGCTTTTCAATATGGGGAGTTTCTTGGATTCCGGGTTTGAATTTTCTTCAGAACAGTTTGTTGCTATTTCTTAACATTTTCTTCAGGTTGGTAAGTATGGATTATGAAAAGTTCTTTTTACACAACCAATAAAATGTTCTATATGACGTTTCGTTGACTAATACGATATGTACACTGTCATCTTCATCAGACAAATGACCAGTGAAGCGTATGCACACAAAGGTGTAAAATGTGTACGAGTTGCCCACAAAATCGATATCGATTTCGGCTACGCTGCAAACGTATGTACAATAGTTGTTATATATGTACCGAAATGACTTGATTCAGCTACGCTGTGCGAGAGTCATTGAGCCCCTTCGTCTCGATTTAGAACTGGCCCACTGCGCCGTATCCAGATCGACATCGATTTTGTGGAAAAGTCGTACACATTTTACACCTTTGTGTGCATACGCTTCACTGGTCATTTGTCTGATGAAGGTGACAGTGTACATATCGTACTAGTCATCGAAACGTCACATAGAACATTTTATTGGTTGTGCAATAAGAACTTTTCATAAGTTTGTTGCTATTATTGCAAGTCGATTGCTGGTACATGATGAGCTTAGCAGTTTCTGCAGCAATCAATCCTTTGGCTTGTGACCTTTCTGCATTTAGGAATGTGTAGTTTTTTTTTCTACAGTGCATAACACCATCTGGTGTATTATCGTTGGTGGAGTTGAATTATTATTTGCTGTGCTGTTAAAACACGAGATTTCAAATCTCCCATCGCAGCTGTATTATATGTGTTGTTATGTTTGGTAGATTGTTCCAAAGTCGGATTTCGTCAGAAAAAGAGTGTTGGTTGGATTGGGGTGGTTTTTCTTTGTCTTCTGTTTAGGACATTTAAGAAACAAGAGGCCCAATGGGCCTGCATCGCTCTCCTGGTATAAATCTCACACTTGTAACCTTAAAAGTGATCTAAAATAAAGCTACAGGCAAAATATCAGAATTTATGATTAAAATTCATTCAAAAGTCCCATTTTTGTTTTTTTAAACATTTCACCCCTGTGATTGAAAGTCGAACAAAGTCATTATGTTGAACACATTTTATAGCCTTTTATCTCAGGATGCAACTTGCAAAGTATCAACATCCTGGGACCCATGGTTATTCAGAAGAGGTCGTTTTAAGATTTTACTGACCCCTGTGACCTTGAATATAAGTCAAAGTCATTCACTTTAACAAACATAGTAGTCCTTGATCCCTGCATGCTACTGATTAAATATCAATATCCTGAGCCTTTTGGTTATTCAGAACAAGTTGTTTAAATATTTTGAACATATTTGCTCCTTGTGACCTTGAATATGATTCAAGGTCATACTTTTGAACAAACTTGGTAGCCCTTGATCCTAGTATGCTACTGACTAAATATCATCACCCTGGACACTTTGGTTATTCAGAAGTTGTTTAAAAACTTTAACATATTTGACCCCTGTGACCTTGAATGTGGGTGAAGGTCATGCAAATGAACAAACTTTGTAGCCCTTCATCTCAGCATGCTACTGACCAAATATCATCACCCTAGGCATTTTGGTTATTCAAAAGAAGTTGTTTAATGTTTTTCACATATTTGAACCCTGTGACCTTGAATATAGATGAAGGTCATTCATTTGTACAAACTTGATAGCCCTTTACCCTAGCATGCTACTGGCCAAATATCATCACTCTGGGCATTTTGGTTATTGAGAAGAAGTTGTTTTGAAGTTTTTAACATATTTGACCCCTGTGACCTTGAATATGGGTGAAGGTCACACATTTGAACAAAATGTGTAGCCCTTCATCTCAGCATGCTACTGGCAAAATATCATCACCCTGGGCATTTTGGTTATTGAGAGGAAGTTGTTTAAAGGTTTTTTAAGACAATTGACCCCTGTGACCTTGAATATAATTGAAGGTCATTCAATTGAACAAACTTGGTAGCCCTTCACCCAAGCATGCTACTGGCCAAATATCATCACCCTGGGCAGTTTGGTTATCGAGAAGAAGATGTCTAAAGTTTTTAACATATTTGACCCCTGTGACCTTGAAAATGGGTCAAGGTCATTAATTTTAACAAACTTTGTAGCCCTTCATCCCAGTTTGCTTAAGGCCAAATATCGACACCCTAGGCCTTTCGGTTATTATGAAGAAGTCGTTTAAAGTAAAATATTGATGCTGGACGACGGACGGACGGACGACGGACAGACAGACGCCGCGCCTGGCATAAGCTCACTTGGCACTTCGTGCCAGGTGAGCTAAAAAGAGTAGGCCCGTTATATCCCACTGCACGTGTATCGTAAGACACGACTTATTTTCGTTTTCCGTCTTCCTTCTTTGCTACCTACCTTCTCTTCCCGGCGGTGCCACCCTGAGCACCTGTCTTTGGCTATTACGAGGAGGACGTTATACCCAAAGCAAACAAACATAACTTTGTGACGTGGCTAATTCTAGTTAAATTTGTTAACCCAGGAGATCACTGATCTAGTTCTGTGTGCTTATTCTTATGTTCCGTAATGTTGTGTATTGACCATTCTGATATAAGGAATCTTGCTGAAGGTGATAAAAATTCTGCCAAGCAGAATGATATAATTTGCTCCTGTCAACACAATTAGCTCAAACTTACCCTTTGTTTTTTGTCCTTCTATATTTCTTTTACAAATTTCGAAATTGTTTTCTATTAAGCCATGATGTGCGATAATTTTTACCGTTAATGTAAGAATTAAACGAGATTTCTGTATCTAAAATTTAACACTCAGCATGTTAATTATCTATCTGCTTATCATTCAGCTGTCTTTGTCAGAATGATATTGTTACTTTAGATCTAATTAGTTGTATGATAGTTTCGTTGTGGAATATGAAACCAAATTGTTTTCGATCTCTGTCGTTGTAGTGATATCACCTTTATAACAGTAGCCGCCTCGAAGACATGCCATATTCCATTGTATTACCAATCCACTGTGGTTATATCAACAGTAAGATGACTGAGGAAGTCTTGACAACAAGCCCACCTGAGGAACTTGTCCTAGACATACACTGTGGTGACCATACTAGTGGTGTGGTTGCTGCTAAAATCTTGACGTTCTTTTTAAGAAGTTGAAAATAGGTCAACCAAACATTTAGCTTTCCAAGGACATATCCACCATGCTTGTATGTTTTTTTATAAAGGTATAGTCTCTGCTCCCAAAGAACATGAGGTTGCTCTCCATACAAAATGAATATCTAATGTTTTTCAAGAGACTTGGAAATAGCTTTGTGTGCAAACTTTTATGAAAATCCGTCCTGTAGTTCTGTACTTAAGGAGGAGTATTCAAGACAACATTGTGTCTACAGATAGCCAACCAAAAACAAACATACACAATCCCATCTAAACTTCTAATGGGTATACAAATTATCAAAGTCCACAATCCCCATCTAAACTTCTAATGGGTATACAAATAATCAAAGTCCACAATCCCCATCTAAACTTCTAATGGGTATACAAATAATCAAAGTCCACAATCCCCATCTAAACTTCTAATGGGTATACAAATAATCAAAGTCCACAATCCCCATCTAAACTTCTAATGGGTATACAAATAATCAAAGTCCACAATCCCCATCTAAACTTCTAATGGGTATACAAATAATCAAAGTCCACAATCCCCATCTAAACTTCTAATGGGTATACAAATTATCAAAATCCACAATCCCCATCTAAACTTCTAATGGGTATACAAATTATCAAAGTCTTTGAGGGCAATGTCAGTTATGATCAATGATCTCCATCTTCTTATAAAAACTGAAGAACTTATTAAATCAAAAACAAATACCATCCATTATCATCACATATTTTATTGCCTATGTGTTTCCGTATCGATAGATAAAAGTGAAATACATAAAATCTGTCTGTAATATTGAAACTGATAAATATTTCATCCCTGTTAAATACTGGTTCTTTTTTTACAGGCAAACACCTCACACCTCCATACACTTCTATAAACAAGAGGCCCAAAGGGCCTGTATCGCTCACCTGGATATCTAAGCAATCATGGCAAAATATTCTCCAAATGAGATCCAAGGGAATATGCCAGACCTCAAGGCCAATCCTTGTAGCATATCTGTATTTGATTTTTTATGCCCAGCAATGTTATGTATGGTTATGGGGTGGGGATCTCAACTGTTTCCAAGCTGTGACTCAGAAACTAGGTCCCTAGGGTTGTGGCCAGACCCCAGGATAAATTCTAATTTCATGACTGTATTTGTCTTTTTTTGCCCAGCATTTGTATATATATTTTTGGGGTGGGGATCTCAACCGTTTCAAAGTTATGACCCAGGGGTTATGTCTGCAAGGGTGGGGCAGACCCTTGGGTCAATTCTAATATCATGACTGCATTCGTCTCTTTATGCCCAACAATTGTATATAGTTTTGGGGTGGGGATCTTAACCGTTTCAAAGTTATGACCCAAGTCTCCAAGGGTGGGGCCAGACCCTAGAGCCATCCTGGAAGCAAATTTGCATTCCTCTCATTATACTCAGCAATTGTATATATGGTTATATGGTGGGGACCTCAACCATTTCCAAGTAAAAAAAAAAAATGTTGGCCCCACCCCTTAGCCCGGGGGGTCAGCCCCACCATTTGTACAATTTTGAATCCCTGCCTTCCATGAATGCTTCCGACCAAATATGATCAATATCCATGGTATAGTTTTAAGGAAGAAGTCGTTTATAGCAATATAGCCAAATTGCCCCCTTTTGGCCCAGCCCTCAGCCCCTGTGGGGTCAGCCCCACCATTTGTACAATTTTGAATCTCCACCACCTAAGGATGCTTCCAGTCAAATATGGTTGATATCTTTCTCTTAGTTCCAGGGAAGAAGTCGCTTTAAGCAATATAGCTAAATAACCCTTTTTGGCCCCGCCCATCAGCCCCCTGGGGGGTAAGCCCAACCATTTGTACAATTTTGAATCCACAACACCTAGGGATGCTTCCATTTAAATATGGTTGATATCCATCTCTTAGTTCCAGAGAAGATGTCGCTTAAAGCAATATAGCCAAATTTCCCCCTTATTGCCCCGCCCCTCAGCCACCTGGGGGGTCAGTCCCATCATGATCATTTGTACAATTTTGAATCCCCACCACCTAGGGATGCTTCCAGTCAAATTTAGTTAAATTCCAATAAGTGGTTAAGAAGAAGAAGTCTTTTGAAGAAATTGTTGACGGACGGACGATGGACGCCGGACGCCGGACGCCACGGTATGGCATAAGCTCACCTTGGTCCTTTGGACCCGGTGAGCTAATAATGTTCGGTTAGAAGCAATTCTTGTTTTTCAGTCAAAATCAAAGATCCCTGTCCCAGTGTAGAATGTGTGGAAGCTACGCTTCACATTGATCTTCACACAAATACAAATTTCATGGTAAAAACTGTACAGTAAAACGCTTTATGCTGATATGTTGATTTAGTTATTTTTAGGAATATAAAGTGTATATTCTGATAATGCTCAAAAACTTGTCCTGATATCTTAAACAAGACTAGAGAAAAACAACAAGCCTGAAATATTTTTAAATCTAGCAAATGACTAGCATATCAATAAACAAACCACTAAACATGGGTTATCTCCCTTCCACAATCTGTCCTTTATAGCGTTTTACAGAAACCTATTTTTACAACAAGTGAATGATAATATACTCGTTCATCACAAAAGTTTTCAACAAAATAGTTTTTTACTGTAGAAAATAGTTATATGACATGTAAGTCTCCTTTTTAACCTTATCTGTCTATAATTTCAGAAGTCCAAGCACAATATTTATACAATAGCCATTATTACAGTTTGGAAAAAGTTTGATTACAGCTGTAAACAATGTATTTGATTCAAAAGTGAAGCTTATGGCACTGAAAAAAGTTAAACTACACCAAACACATAAACTCACAGACTGTTTATTCACATGGAATTTAGAAATGTCAATTGAAATGTACATCTGGGACCATTTATAAGCCTTCTTTGAAAGTCAGGTAAAAGGACACCAGATTAAATAGAACTTTCAGTTAAGACAAAAACCTTTTTGCATCAAACATTTCTAAACACTTGGTAGGTATACATTCTACCAGGCAGAGTACAATACAACATAGTAGCAGAACCAGACAGAACTTCTCACTCCTTACATACAAAAAAGTTTGTATAACAAAATTTTACTGTAGAAAAGGTTTTTATCATTGTGTATAAAATATCAAAATAAAAGTTTCTCCATACATCTCACATTTGCATCTGTGATTGTGGAGGTCACTTTGGCACTTGTTTGACACAAAAAGCACTACTGTAATTAAACGTGTGTTTACAGGGCATTAACTCTAACTGTAACACCAGATTTACATGGACAACATTTGAAAGTTTTTAACATTTATAAAAAAATCTCACTTCTTCTTTTGTAGATATTTCCTCTAAAACCACGAGTACCCCATTTTTAGTTAGTTATATACATTTGAGGTGATCAACACTTACATCATACAATCTCTGGATATCATGATATCTTTCAATATCTTCAATGATGTAATTCAAGGTGGTTTTAGACTTGAGGTGGTGTCCAATTTATATCTAATACTATAACCGTCCTAGAGTTAGCTGCTGCTGCCGACTTCCATCTTTTCTCCAGTCTCTGTCTCCTTACTAGCCACAAACTTGTTACAGTGGTCAACAATTTCTGAAATACACACCATTCTAAGTTACAAAGACGGCATACAAAATCGAAAACGTATGGACTCTGCTTTGCATTCGTACCATACAGGTGATACTAGAACTGTGGAGGCCAAAGGCCACCGCCTTCCCCATTAAAACTGTTGGAAAGAAGTTGATTACATTAAAAGCTGACAATATTTTGCATTTTTAGAACATTGATCTGTTTACAAAAGCAGATATAAATCAGAAAGATGACGTTTCCAAAAGAGGAACATCTCGGGTAAATATGGCTAATAACGGACTTAACATACAATATCTGAAATAGCACGGTGGCCATTTCAGAAAAAATCTGAATCTTATGCAGGTGCAACTATGGAACGAAACGATAATATCTTCCATGTTTAAGTCATCATCTCTTTGGAAGTTCCTTGGAAATAGCAAATGCAAAGTCGAAAATGGCAGCCATTCTCTTTTCTTATCTGTCACAAATTACGACATGCACAACTGTTGATCATGCATATCAAATTTCATTGTGATCCGGTTTCCCTGAAGTAGTTTCTGAGAAACAGTGATAAAATTTGTTAGTAGATAGATTGACTGACTTACTGAATGATGACACCACACGGTGTGAGAGAAGGTGGGTAATTGTATAGTGTGTATTAGAAAGCGATGTGTATGTGTATCTATATTTGTATAATATTCACCGTTTATGATCTGGGTGTAGGCCTGAGTGGCTGGAGAATCTGGTACTTCTGTAAGGTGGTGTGAGAGAAGGTGGGTGATTATACGTATAGTGTGTATTAGAAAGCAATGTGTATGTGTATCTCTATATTTGTATAATACTCACTGTTTATGATCTGGGTGTAGGCCTGAGTGGCTGGAGAATCTGGTACTTCTGTAAGGTGGTGTGAGAGAAGGTGGGTGATTGTATAGTGTGTATTAGAAAGCAATGTGTATGTGTAACTCTATATTTGTATAATACTCACTGTTTATGATCTGGGTGTAGGCCTGAGTGGCTGGAGAATCTGGTACTTCTGTAAGGTGTTGTGAGAGAAGGCGGGTGATTGTATAGTGTGTATCAGAGAGCGATGTGTATGTGTATCTCTATATTTGTATAATACTCACTGTTCATTATCTGGGTGTAGGCCTGAGTGGCTGGAGAATCTGGTACTTCTGTAAGGAAGGATTTCCCCTCATCACAGCATTTACCTTGAAAATAAAACAAGGTAAACATTATTTCTCTTACCCTGAACAGGTGTATCCACATTTTTACCAATGTGAGATTTCCTTATCCCGCATTAGGGTTGAGACAGGGGGATTCCCCTATTCATAATAATACAATGACGTCACGTCAACAATCCATCAACGTCATGTCAACCCTGAATTGAGCCTGTAATGTTAACATTACATTATCCATATGATACAAAATGGGTGAACAAAGTTAGAGAAAAAGAATCATTCACCCCCTTGAAGGTGAGATGGGAAATCTCAACTCTGGGGGAAAGATTCTTAAGTTGCCAAACACTCTGCAAAGCCTCATGTACTGAGTATATAAAGTACTTCTGCAGGTCAGTCTGATGTAGTGTTTGTCTACACTCTCATGATACTATTAATTGGTTAAACATTTGACATTAATCCCATTTTCTGTTAGTCAGCCTTGTACTGTCTGTATAATAGTCACAAACCATTCTGATGAACACAGAGGTGCAGTCACAACACAACCTGGCGTACTTAGTTAACAGTGCTTTATTTACATTTAACAGTGAATGTATACATGCCTCCCAGGAGAGGGCTTCGTCAGGGCAATTATAATGATTTTATCGTTTCATAAGGTACTTTCTTGTGGGTGCAAAAAATTAAAAAGTTTTTATATTCAAGGGGAGTAATCCTTACACAATATATGTAACCATTCTGATTGGAGGTGTAATATCAAGTCAGTTTGTACATAGGGTTTAATGCACTCACAACAGCTTAGGTCATGTGAATGTGAATGCAGGAAGGAGACACCACCGAAAAAAAGACAGGTGAAGAAGGAAAATACAGGTCCATAATAATCAATATTGCAATGGAGGTAGCTGATCAATGTTGTTTTTCTTCTGTAAGCAGAAGACACAGCAGAAAACCTCAGATTCTGCATAGAGCAATCAGTAAAATGCTCATTAAATAGTACCGATATTTATTAAATGTTATTCATGATTACACATTATATCAAATGTCATGTGTATCATAGAAACAGACCTTATGTCTAAATGTTGTAATTCAAAAGGGCCAGTTACTCCATAGACATCATATAAGTTTTCTATTATGTTCATTAAACCCATCATAATTCTTTCTATTTACCTATTCATACTAATTTTATGCTCTAGCTAACAGAGCTGATCACCACTTACCTATCCTTGGATCCAGGGGTAGCTTGCCCAGAAATTTAACATCCATGTCTGCAGCCATCTTTTCTCCTCCTCCAGTAGTCGGTGGGAATATCTGAGATTCATTCTGCAAATAAATCACTAGTTATAGATTTGTGGTCTTATCTCCCTTTGATCGTGTTTAAAATAATACATTCAAAACATTTTTCATGAAAATTAGAACCTGGTGTTGTCTCCCTTAGATTGAACTAAGAGAGCTAACAAGTAGTTTTCATTATTCAGCTGTCATGGACATTGACATTATTTCCTAGGATCATTTTTTCTGTGGGGAAAATGTCCATGTTTGATTTCTATTTACCAAGAGTCCATCACACTTGTAATACTGGACATTACTGAAGTGTCACCTAACAATTAATGGTCTTGATTTGAACACTAGACTACCGTGCCTCACAACCCTTCAGTCACAAGCCCGGCATCCTACCACTAGACTACCGTGCCTCAAACCCCTTCAGTCACAAGCCCGTCATCCTACCACTAGACTCCCGTGCCTCACACCCCTTCAGTCACAAGCCCGGCATCCTACCACTAGACTACCGTGCCTCAAAACCCTTCAGTCACAAGCCCGTCATCCTACCACTAGACTACCGTGCCTCACAACCCTTCAGTCACAAGCCCGGCATCCTACCACTAGACTACCGCGCCTCAAAACCCTTCAGTCACAAGCCCGTCATCCTCCCACTAGACTACCGTGCCTCACACCCCTACGGTCACAAGCCCGGCATCCTACCACTAGACTACCGTGCCTCACAACCCTTCGGTTACAAGCCCGGCATCCTACCAATAGACTACCGTGCCTCACAACCCTTCAGTCACAAGCCCGGCATCCTACCACTAGACTATATAGCTACTATGCCTCCTCTTAATACTTTCTGAGTTATTTTCCAGCTGGACAATATCTGTTATCAAATAGGGATGGTCCTATTAGTCAAATGTTGGCATGCCTTGGTAGAAGTTAGAGGCTACAATAACATACGAATACAATCCAATTTACCTTAAACTCTGATCGAAGTTAGAGGCTACAATAACATACGAATACAATCCAAATTCCCTTAAACTCTGACCGAAGTTAGAGGCTACAAATATACTACCTAACTTAAAATTTGACTTTACCCCGTTTAAATGATTCTTTACTTACAGGCTATCAAATTCCAAATAATATTACAATTTGACTTCAAGTACAGGCTAAAACAATCCAACTTACCTTACACTTTGACTGAAGTTAGAGACTACAAACAACTAACCTTACACTTTGACTGAAGTTAGAGGCTACAAACGACTTACCTTACACTTTGACTGAAGTTAGAGACTACAAACAACTTACCTTACACTTTGACTGAAGTTAGAGACTACAAACGACTTACATCACACTCTGACTGAAGTTAGAGGCTACAAACAACTTACCTTACACTTTTACTGAAGTTAGAGACTACAAACGACTTACATCACACTTTGACTGAAGTTAGAGGCTACAAACAACTTACCTTACGCTTTGACTGAAGTTAGAGACTACAAACGACTTACATCACACTTTAACTGAAGTTAGATGCTACAAACAACTTACCTTACACTTTGGGCAAACAAACCCACTCATGTTCTCCACCACACCAATGATAGGCATCTCAACCTTCCGGCAGAAGTTCACCTCCTTCCGTACATCAAGTAAGGCCAATTCCTGTCAATTATATATCATGGTCACTACTTCAGAGCATATTAATTTAGGTTATGAACCATGCGACACAGCAATCTGATTTAAACACAGGTGTTAAGTTATCACCTAAAGTACCAACTGTAATGCAAAATAACATAATCATCCAATTTGCAATATTTCCTGTTCCATAAAACAAGACACACTTTTATGTACCTTTGGTCACTTGCTATTAAGTGTATCTTAGAAAATACATATCTTAATCAAAAACTTTGATCAATCATAAAAATTATCCATCATGAAATGATAATGGAGAAAGATAACAAATACTTTTCTTGAAACAAGATGTGGTCTAAATATGTAAATCTGATATGCCTTATGATCAATTGTTTCTCAAAGCCAACCAAATGTGCTTGAAAGTAGGTTACACCTCTTCCCCTCGGTCTAATCTTTTTTAGTAACAGTGACCTAGACATTACAAACTTTTATAACTTGGATTCAGAGAAAATGACTGTGACTCCCATGGGCTATTTTCAGTAACAGTGGCCTTGAACTTACCCCTCTATTGCACATCTATATATCACAGTGTATCACCATGTGATATTTCAAAATGATGTAGTCTTTGGATTCTGAAGCAAAGACCATAACCCCTTTCCCCTAAATGTCTATTTTTAGTAACAGCGACCTTGATCTTATAAAGTTTTTAAAACCCTATTACACATCTACATATCACGGTATATCACCATCACCATGTCAAACTTTCAAAAACATTAGTCTTTTTTATTACGAAATAAGAACTGTAACACACACACACACAAAGTGACCTTGACCTAAGACACTTTTAAAACCCCTATTGCATTCCTGTTTATCACCATGTCAACTTTCAAAAACATTAATCTTTTAGATTCCAAAATAATCTCAGAAAACCAAAGTGAGGACAGACGGACAGACATAAGGACAGACTGACACAGTGATACTACAGGACACCAGCATCTCTGATGGGATACCCTAATAATGGGGGAAAATCAAAAGAAAACAGTAGCAGTTTTGTCTTTATCACTGATGTCTTTGTATTCTATTTTTGTGACATAAAAAAGATGAATAATATGTCAATGCCTTATTATTTTATTGAAATTTGATGTGATGTCACTACAAGGCATATCGGTCCAAATAAATGATGGTGATGCTGTTAAACTCCCTAGCAATCCAAGTATACAATAAATTGGCATATAGCCCAATAGTTTAATTCATGGTATTTTAATGGAGTCATTCATGACAATTAACTAAAAGTTTGTTTTATTTCATCTACTTCATGACCTTCCATGTTAATTAGAATGTAAAACATTAATTAGAATGTAAAATATTTTAATTACAACGGATGGTTATGAAGTAGATTAACTTTAAACAGTTATAAGTTAACAAGTACTTGTAGGGCCAGCGGTCCTCCAACCAATGCCATCAATCCTACCGAAGGTGGGGGATTATTTCTGGGCACTCACATACGAAAAAAGTTCTTCACAAACCAATCCAGTTGAGATTTATGTGATTTTGTACCGTTAATGACATCGATTATCTCAGTTAATACTTAGTCGGTTACTCTCTCCAGGACAGATTGGTGTATGGAGTGTGTTCTCCAATAGATAAAACCCAAAAGTAAAAACACTTCAGCATTCCTACACACACGGGGCAACCCACCTGTATTTGTCAGGAGTACAGAAAAGGTAGCCACACCACACAACTATTAAAGGTAGCTGGACTCTTTTATTATGGTCAGTATTCCACATGACCAAACTATCATGGTTATACATGTGAGCTCAAAAAGGGTTAAGTTGCCATGAATACCATGGTGTCCAAAGGGTGGTCAATAGTGAATGTTTGTACGGCTTGCTGCCTTCATATTATTCGACAACTAGATTAGAAAATTATAAAGAGAGTACAGACAGTACTGATGGACAACATGTTTCACGTCGTTATGGATACACAGGTACCCGAGATTAGCTGAGGGTGATAAACGGACAAGAAGTGCCCTGTTGTCATGGATACCATGACATCTGAGAAAGATTAAGAAAATTTTATTTCTTGTTCTCACGGATCAGGAAGTGCAGTATTTTCAAGGATATGATAGTATCCACAAGTTTCCATGGGTAATAATGAGACTACTGTACGTAATGTCCTGGTTACATGCTCCAGGGTACAAGTTCACAAAAACAATAAGTATATCGCGTTTACATGATTATTAGAATACCTGAGGGGTGGTGATGATGACAGCACCATCAATTTGTGATTCCTTCAGGTACTGAGCAACAGACAGATGTTCATCAGATGTACCAGGAGGAGTGTCAATGACGAGGAAGTCCATCTCCCCCCAGTCCACATCCCTCAGGAACTGCTTGATCAGACCTGACAATGGATACACACCAGCTTCATTAATTATAGGCTTTATAGGTAATCTTCCTGGAATAGTTATAGATACTACAGGTAATCTTCATGGGACAGTAATACACTATACAGGTACTCTACATTGTGCCTGGGCAGTTTAAGACTATACAGGTAATCTTCTTGTTTTGGGACAGTTATGGAATATACAAGTAATCTTCTTGGGACAATTATAGACTATACAGGTAATCTATCTAAAAAAGTTATAGATTCTACAGGTAATCTTCTTGTGGCAGTTATGAAATCCACAGGTAATCTTCTTGTGGCAGTTATAGACTCTACAGGTGATCTTCTTGGGACAGTTATAGACTCTACAGGTAATCTTCATTGTGCATGGGACAATTATAGACTATACAGGTAATCTTCTTGGGACAGTTATAGACTTTACAGGTAATCTTCTTGGAACAGTTATAGACTTTACAGGTAATCTTCTTGGGACAGTTATAGACTTTACAGGTAATCTTCTTGGGCTAGTTATATACTATTCAGGTAATCTTCTTGGGACAGTTATAGACTTTACAGGTAATCTTCTTGGGACAGTTATAGACTTTACAGGTAATCTTCTTGGGACAGTTATAGACTATACAGGTAATCTTCTTGGGACAGTTATAGACTTTACAGGTAATCTTCTTGGGACAGTTATAGACTTTACAGGTAATCTTCCTGGGACAGTTATAGACTTTACAGGTAATTTTCTTGGGACCATTATAGACTTTACAGGTAATTTTCTTGGGACAGTTATAGACTTTACAGGTAATTTTCTTGGGACAGTTATAAACTCTACAGGTAATCTTCTTGGGACAGTTATAGACTATATAGGTACTCTTCATTGTGCCTGGGACAGTTACTGACTATACAGGTAATCTACCTGGGACAGTTAAAGGTTATACAGGTAATCTACCTGGGACAGTTAAAGGTTATACAGGTTATCACCTGGGACAGCTAAAGGTTATACAGGTAATCTACCTGGGACAGCTATAGGTTATACAGGTAATCTACCTAGGCAGTTTTAGGCTATACAGGTAATCTACCTGGGAGAGTTATAAGGCATTAGGTAGTTTAGGTGAGACAGTTATAGGGTATGTATAGATAATCTATACGAGATTGTTGTTTGGTATACAATTATAAATATATATAGGTATGTAGATACCATTTTTCTTTGGTCCTCGCCATATTACTGCATCGTCAGGGCCGCCCAGCAGGAACCCTATAGACATAACAGACAGATTGTCGTCCACATACTGTAACAGTAAAACAAAATAGTTATAAACCTTTAAACACACATCATTGATATTGATTTAAAAGCCATTTGTTACTGCTACTTTACCAAATGTAAGTGTTAGTTTACCTGTATAAATAGTATTTTTTCATGTCATTTCCCATTTACGAATTAAACAAAATGGTAAACATTGTGAACTTAGACCCTTTAGATTTATATCATCCAATCTGGTTTCTCTATGAACATTTTACACTTAACTGTATAAAATATACAGTAATATACACACAATACAGGGACTTACTTTTAATTAACAACCACACACCTGTACTGACTAAAAAGCCGTTTCTATAAAACTGTTTGATAGGTTAATATCAGTCATTGATCAGGAACAATTGCACCATGGAAGTTCACTTACGGGTATAATCTACGTGTGTGAACTTGACTATGAGGAATAGACCTGTCAGTCAACAGTGTAATTAAACAGGGTTTGATTAATGCCCCTCTTACACTTTCAAATCATCCTATAAACATAACCACTATAATTAAATGAAATAGGCAGTAAACAACACAGTCATTCAAGGAAAATATAAAAAAGTACCGGCTTTCATATATAAGAGAATAATTCTTTTTATAAAGGAAACCCATAAGAAAGCACACTTAAATGAGTATGTTGATATCCTGTAATACAAGATACCTCAATTCCAACAACCTATCTACAGTACAATAGTACCACATAAGTGCCATACCAAAAAGTTCATAACCCTATGTAACTGATAGTGTGTTGTTTTTAAAAGAAAAAGCATCCATGACTATTTGTTCGGACATTTCATAGAAATTGGTCATGTATTAACTCATTCGCCCCTGAAGACACATTTGAACTCATCAAATTCAAAGGTTGGAATAGTTCATTATAAAATTTCAGGGGTGAACAAGTTAAAACAACAGAGTATATATATATATATACCTGTCAATAACAAGGGACATTTACCAGTAAATGTTAACAATGAAATAAAGAGTTTGTTAATCATGTTACAGCCATTCCAAAAGCTCATTATGACCCCAACATTGTATAATCTAAAGACATACAATTCTGCATCCACATTTCTAAATACACAAAAAGATATGTTCCATTTCTAGGTTATATATTGTACGAATGAAATTTGTGAACACAAGTGAGTAGAGTGGCTTAACTTGCTTTATAATATGACATTGGAACAATTGATTGATAGATGTACCTTTCATTGTGATTAGAGATAATGTCGGGGAATCGATTCTGGCTGTTGTTATCTCCCCGCTAGTCATGAAACATTAATTGGTATCGTGGGTTGGTCCACCTAATCAGGAGGATGTGGAGAGAACCTCATTTTTCATTTGTCCAATTGTCTCATATACGACAGACAGACAGAAGAATTGACACATTGATTATATTTTATATAAAACTGGCTCCCAACTTCTGTGTCCAGTCTATCAATGATTGGTCATCTTGATAACTCTCTGACCAGTTCAACCATTCTGTTTTTTGGAATGTAACATGTCCAATTCAAGAAATTTTAAACAGTTCAAAGTTTTTTTCATTTCACAAAAAAACAAATGCGACAATGAAAAAACAGGTGACACAAAAAGTTTCTATTAATAAATGTCAAGCTCCGAGGCAACACGTCACTACCATGCAACGTTTTAGTGAGAGTAAATATACTCTGTTAAATTGTCAATAATGTTAAATGAATGAGGGAAGAATGTTAAATCTAGAATGAATGGAATCAATGCTACAGTACACAGTAACCATGCACCGGACAAATTCAACCAATACCATGACCACTGAAGAAACCGACTAGACGATAAAAGTGTTTTATCGCATCGTTGGCATATAAATTGACAATGAATAATTTGATATGAACCACATGTATGGATTTATATATAGAAACTGTACAGACACATATTAATGCAAACTTGATTTTAGAATGGTAATCAGACAATGATACAATGAACAAACACAGGTAGGAGACAGGTGTGGCTTACTGATGAAATATCAATTTGAACTACTATGATAAAGAACATGGATGATAACTGGTCCACAAACTAAAACTGTAAAAGCAATAAGATCAATAAATATATATATCAAAACTGTCACATCTTGTAGTGTTTTAACACGGAAATGTAAAAATATGGATATTCTGGTACATTGTGTTTAGAACTACAACAATCGATCAGGGCCACCAGTGAGACAATCATTTTTGCATTACATTTCAGGTGAAATTCGTCACTGGTATACAGCCCAGCTACAATGGAAATCCTATTCTACTGCCGTGCTATTCTAATCTAGTCCTACATCTTATGAAGTGGTATGACGCACAGTCCAGGTATAACGTCTTCAATTTTTACATATCTATACCTATATGGTATATATAACAGTTTTTAAGTTGATACTTTTTACTGTTACAAATACAAAATGTAACGTGTTTTGTTTTAAATTTCAAACAAAAATAGCCAATCTAAGAGAGGAAAAAAGTCGATGTTCAAGGAAGAACCAAATCCTTATATATATAAACAGAAAAACCTGATGAAGAAACCCAGAAGGTTTTCTATAATACTCTGTCTGGGTCTATGATGTAGCGTGACCTTTGTGAGATTCAGCCTCTTCTCCAGTATGTAGACTAAAACATCACCTGTAGAAAGTTTTTCTTACACCTACACTAAAGATCAGAAAATTCAAACCTTGGAATTATGAAATCCAATACATGACCCCTCGGATAGATTTTTCTATCTTCCACACTCACATATAGAGCCTATAATTAAAGGAATGAGTGATGACGTAGGGACTGGATTTCAATATCATTTACCATTTTTTAAATACAAAGAACTTGGAAGATTATACAGTTGTAAGATCGCACAATGTTACACGATGAAAAATTGGACGATCATTACTTGCGCACAATATGTGCGCTCGATGGACGAACGCTATGCGAAAACCATCGTGGTTGGTGTAAATTGAGGAATGCCTTAACAATATATACGGTTTCGTGTTTAAACATATAAACTTGATTTTTAAGTATGTGCTATATATATACTAGCTGCATCTATAAGCTTATCTTTAAATTTTCTCTCTATACTTTACTGAATTTTGAAATGGCGTTTTTGGTGTTTTTTGAACGACCTTAATCGACATGTAAAATTATAGCACAGTTCCCGTATACAGGTAAGCATACCATGTAGCCACTTTGTACATGAACCTTGACCGTACTTGTCCCGCCCGGGGCACTTTCGTAACTCATCGGGATGTGAAAATCCAGGTGGAGGGATCTATAAGGCAAATCGAATACAAATAACAACTAATTGGCCAGTTGTGTTTTCATAACGATCATACGGTTTCACACATCAGCTATATGTGTTAGGCACAAGCCAGGTAAAACTCTGGTCACTCATCAAAATGTTATTTACCTGTTCGGTTACCTAGGAGCCAAACCCATTTTGACAGTCTAACGGTCACTGTAATACTGTGTAACACGCCGGTAAACTTGTACATAATCTTAATTATTGTGATGAGAAATCACAGTAATATATAGTGTACATGTACATTATTGCATACGAGCCTTCTGTATTTATTTCATTTCGTAATATTGATCAACAAATTGTACCTAATCGCACAGTTGTGCGGAGAGAAGCGCACAACGGGGCGAACAATTGTTAAATTGCACAGTTGTGCGCACCATGTGTGGACGATGTATGCACGCTGTGCGTACGCTGTGCGCACGCTGTTTTTGGTGCGTTGTGCAGTCACACAACTGTATAAAAGTACCTATAAGCATCCCTTGGAGTTCAACCAAACTCTTGTAACTCCATTATCATACAGCTATTGTTGACTGAAGTGACCATAACTGTAGACCTGTAGCTGGTATTCCTATCAATCAAACTAAATGAGCAATGTGTGTAACAGTGTAAATATTGACTCCGTTGGAGCCAGACTCGGCCGGTTTACTTGGTGCTCTATCGAACAACATGTGCAGTCTTTCGGTCGCGATCAATAGTACATGCACATGTGGGGGAAGTCCATTACCAATTATGCCACACCATTTCCCCCATGTATGCAAACACACAGGTACACAAGCTCATTAAGGCAGGCTGATATAGTCACATGTAATTGGCCGTAACGATATCAAACACACAAACTCTGGACCAGCTAAGTTGCACCGACTGCCCTTTTGTTCGGGGTCCTGATCATTATAACAATTAACATAGTTTTACGTTAATAATTTACATAGCTATAGCAGTTTTACTCGATGTATATTCATGCTATATTCAACAGTGGGATACCATATCCTGCTAACTTTGCAACAAATGAAGCATATTTGATGCCTCTTTGAAGCCATCCTGTAGTACCAAATCCATACTTCCCAAGGATTTTATTATCAAGAAGCAGTCTCCCTCCAGTTGACATTAAATTTCACCTGTTTTGATGTGGATTTCGCTTAATATCACTTTATTTTGGCCACTGTCACAAATAAAATACAGGTAAATGGCGGTAATACATATATGTACTTCATGATAAATGCCCTGTACTCATTAAGGCACATTGCCTTCAATAGAAACCATCAGTAGATAGCAAATGCTTTTCTCCATTACAAATGAAAGTAACAAAGTTAGAGAGTGAATTATTCAGCGACACAATAGCCTTATCTGTTTATGTATCTTCAGTACTTTTATTATCAACCAGAATACCATGACATCAATATTTAAACAGCCCCACCCCAATGCACTTTTTTCATTTCCACCTTATCAGACGTTATCTTGTTGGCATGTTTTTTGCTCCATGACAACACCTAGTGGCTATTAATGAACATAACAAATTTCTTTCCGACACAATATACCGCACCCATTAATTATTCAGTCGGCAAATTCTGCATCGGAGACTAATCAGTGGGTGGGGTTATCAGGAAGCAGACCTGCAGGTAACGTTCAATATAAACCTGATACTACACTGTAAACGGTTCTCAGATGTAACACTGTTTAAATGACAAAACATAGCTCATAAATACGGTAGTTAGTGATACAGTCATTAAGTTTGTCTGTGATCTGTGTTAATGTGAATAAAGTAGCACACCCGTCCTGACATTGTTGCATTACAACTCCATCTGTAAAAGCATCATGATAATATCTACAGCTAAATGAAGAAATATCTATCATCTCTCAAATTGCTTTTTGGATCCTGATCATAACTTCTGTTTCTCTCTGTGTGACTTTGATCTTTCACATTGTAAACACAAGTAAAGAGGCCAAGCTGGTCTGTATGGGAAATAGATTTACTGCAGAAATTATAAAAGAAAAGCCTTGCCAAGTCAAAAAGACATCCTAGTCATATTGATGTTTTAATAATTTCTATTTTTGTTCGTTTTTGTGTGGTGTTGGTGGTGGTGGGGTTTGAAGATAGTTCTACATTTGGATCATGTGAACATAGATGATTGTAAAGGACATTCATTTGAACAACCTGATAGCCTTTCATTCAACAAGCCAAAGGCTACATATTATCACTCTATGATTCGGGGTTAGAAAAAGTTGAAAACATTTGACCCCTGACCTTGAAAGTGGGTCAAGGTAGTGTATTTAAACAAACTGAAAATCCCTTTATTCTGAGAAGCTTCATGCAAAATATTACTACCTCAAATATCATTGTTCATAAGAATAGGTTGTTTGAAGATTTGATCACATTTGGTCTATGTGACCTTGAATGATGGTCAAGACATTTATTTGAGCAAGTTATATGCTAAATATTACCTTTCTAAGATTTATGGTTCTTTGATGTAGGAGCAATGGATGAGAGACTAAAACTGTACATGTATACCTCTAACATGCACCGGTGGTGTCTAAAATAGCTACAGTCTGTATTATACATGTACATGCAGAGCTTGTATGTATGATCAGTACAGACCTATAATTAATTCACCTTACTTTCAGGCAATCTGTGGTAAGGCATTTATAGCATCTAGACATGTTGAGAAGAGATCCATTATCTTTCTCCGAGTTTCCTGTGATTTCTTGATAACAATCCCAATAAATGTGAATCTAAACCTAATATTCCTACAATCAAAACTCTTAAGAACTCTTATTATAATGAAACATTATCCTGTAAATTATTCTTTTGATCAAATCTTCCATCTCTAAGAATCCTTTCTCCAGTATCAATGCCAGGCAGACATTCCTGTGTATTTAATTGAATTTTCAGTCCCTAGATACCTGGTTAATTAATATCTAAGGGCCATCAAATCAATATTACTGTAACACAATAGAGTACAAGATCACGATAATGATGTTGAACTAGTCTGTGTGCCTGATGACTATCTTTACAAGCCAATGGCGACGCCGTCGTCAAGGTAACGATGTCTATATCACTTTCTACATTTACCCTGATATACAGTAACATATACCAGGTACATTACTGTCCTTACCTATCCAAATATAGTTTACCATACAACAATTGTTTGTATGAGTGGAAAAGTGTTGTCATATCCAATTAATTTAATTTTGATACATATTTTACATGTTCATTAACATCGGACTTATTAGTTATTCAATTTAATAAATTTCATATTACTTTGCCAATTTGTAGTACAAGCCAACCTCAATATTATATACTGTCAGAAATAGTAACGTTAATATTACCTGACTGACAACAATGTGCTTTATATATAAAGAAAATGTTGGTAACTTACCACTGGGGACCAGCCAGATCCACTCTGATGGACCTGAAGGTAAACACAATATAAAACAGAATCAGAGAAGTACTTATGTAAACGACACATACTTACTTGTCATCATGGCATGATAGATTGTATAAATTGACAAACTGTAATCAGCCTGGAGTTGTATAGTGCTATATTTCCATTTTTATGAAAACAAGAGATCCATGGGCCTAAACAGTCACCCGAGTCCTACAGTATTTATTTTTGTTGTTAAAATATGTACCAATTTGAGTACAAAATAGTTAAGTATAACGCTAACTTAAGTTTGTCAGGACCATGAGCTGATCATTCCTAGATTGAGTTTCAGTTAAATCGGCCTATCAAACTTGTTTTTAAGTTTGAAACAGTTTTTCAAAATGGCGCCGTGTCGGCCATACTGGATTTCTGATCGACCTGAAAAATAACAACACTTTGTCAGGACCATGAGCTGATGATTCCTAGATTGAGTTTCAGTTAAATCGGCCTATCAAACTTGTTTTTAAGTTTGAAATAGTTTTTCAAAATGGCGGCCGTGGCGGCCATTTTGAATTTCTGATTGACCCGAAAAATAACAACACTCTGTCAGGACCATGAGTTGATTATTCCTACAAAGTTTCAGTTCCATTGCCCCAGCAGAACTTTTACTTTAAGTTTGAAACAGTTTTTCAAAATGGCAGCCGTGTCGGCCATATTTGATTTCTGATCAACCTGAAAAATAGCAATACTTTGTCAGGACCATGAGTCGATCATTCCTGCAAAGTTTCAGTTCAATCGTCCCAGCAAAACTTGACTTTAAGTTTGAAACAGTTTTTCAAAATGGCGGCCGTGGTGGCCATATTTGATTTCTGATTGACCCGAAAAATAGCAACACTTTGTCAGGACCATGAGTTGATCATTCCTACAAAGTTTCAGTTCAATCGGCCCAGTAGAACTTGACTTAAAGTTTGAAATAGTTTTTCAAAATGGCGGCCGTGACGGCCATTTTGAATTTCTGATTGACCCGAAAAATAACAACACTTGGTCAGGTAGATGTCAGTAACCTTCCCATGAAATATATGAAATCCCTTTGCCAGTATTTCAGCTTAAGTTGAATATTTAAAATATTAACGGATGACGGACGACAACGGACGAAGACGGATAGCAATAGGTCACTTGAGCTCAGGTGACCTAAAAATACAATTGACTAGAGTTGACTTCGTGTTTTTCATGTTGAATTCATGTTAAGTGTTGAATTTGTGTAATATTGAATTCATGTAAAATGTTGAATTGGTGTAATGCTGTATTCATGTAGTGTTGAATTTGTGCAATGTTGGATTGATGTCAAGTGTTGAATTTGTGTAGAGTTGAAATTCAATTAATTGTGTAATGTTGAATTCATGTAGTGTTGAATTTGTGTAATGCTGAATTCATGTTAAGTGTTGAATTTGTGTAATGCTGTATTCATGTAGTGTTGAATTTGTGTAATGTTGGATTCATGTAAAGTGTTAAATTTTTATAGTGTCTACTTTGTGTACTGTTTAATGTATAGTGTTAAATCTGAGTATACGAAGAAGTGTTGAATTTGGGTAGTGTTGGAATTTGTGTGAGCATTGAATGAGTTTATAGTGTTGAATTTTGGTATGCTTTAAAGTAGTGTTGAATTTGTGTACAGATGTATGATATTATCGAAGTAGAAGTAGTTAAGAATTCACGTACCTGTTCCCCCTCCACACCGAGGATCCTTGGAATGGATGGTCCACAGATATCCACATCTAATACCCCAACCTGTAAAACAAAAGGATTTAAAAGATTTTTACTAATACACATTACATATGACCAGTTTAAATCAAGCTGAAATGATAACAGGTTAAATAACGGTTCATTAAAACAAAAGAATACAATATTAACTGTTGGTCACTTTTGCTCAAGTTCTCCTCAAGATGATCCATATATGATATTTGATATGTATATGATATTTGATATGTTTTAGACATCTAGTATTATATATGGAGCTAAACTACAGTCTTACAAAGATGACATACATACAGAGGTATGAACCCGGTAAAAAAGCAAAGCAGCATTAAGTTCACTCATTACAATGTCACACGTACATATAACATAATGGTGTTATACAATGCCTTTGTGATAGATTGCACTTTTTCAAATCATGTTCAAGCCAAAAATATTAATATTGAACAGGAGTTCTTCACAAAACTAGTTGTGTGCATACACTTTGTTTGCCATTCTTTCTAATTTTTTTACAGTGTGGAAAACGTAATCATGAGCTTTTCATAGAAAATAGGAAGACTTGGTAAGTACACATTTATAACATTACATGTTCAGTTGTTCTTTGGAAATTTTACAGTGCTGCATATTAAATCAACTGCATCCTTTTCTGTTCTGACTATTTAACCTTGGTGAAAAGGAAATCAAAGGTGGTGTCTTATGCCGTATGAAGGCTGTAAGTTTGACCTTCCTATTATGAATTTCAAAACAGCAGACATCTCTCTTCTACCATTGAATCGACCAGACAAGCTAACATTTTTTACATATTTAAACATGACCTCAACTCAAACCAAATAATCTAGTTCTGTACTTTATAATTAACGCGATGCTAACATAGACATATTTACTTTATATAAAAGTAAACAACATAGTCCAGAGTAACAGTTTATACACGATAAGTACTAAATTTTGTCACCACTTGACATAAAATGGGTCAAAACATGGAAATACAATGTATAAGTCCTGATGCTAGGATTACAATATCATATACACTTATTAAAATGTTTGAAAACAAAACAGCAAGAAGAAACTCAGTGCTGACCATCATAACTGTTCACTTCAATTTAATTTAAGGTTTGATCACGTACAGCACACTTAAATTTCACTTAGAAAATATGAGAACTTCGACCTGAAAGAACCACTGGATCAGAATACTGGTATTTATATTATCCACCATCATACTTATTAACACACAATCCCTTTTCAAAAAGAACTTTTAACGATCATATAAAGATTTTCAATGAAATAAAAACCTGCTTAGTATTGACCGTCTGTCCCGCGAAGGGTATTCAGACATATGAATCACAATGGTATAACAGTTCTGACCACAGTGTGGTATACACACCCAGGCCACCTTTAGTAAAAAGTTGTACAAATTCTCTGGTATTTATTCTTTATTTATTTCTCTTGACAGACCACTGTAACTTGACAAAGAAATGTGTCCCACCACCAAGTCAGACACCCTAACTTTGCTCCAGTGACGAGTCTACACAGTGGTTTCAAATAACACAATGTAGTATTTAGTCATAAGAATGGGAATCGGCCAGTCCCAGCCCACGCCAACAACCTACTGTAATCTTACTTTAATCTCTCGCACTTCCATTTCATACTTACACTTTTCTAGCATGAATGCTCAGCACCCATAATCAATAAATATTGTGTGTTTTTGGTACCAAGTCTAACTTACAAATCGACATATCAATTTGATTTCCGTCAAGTGTTATCGTTGGAATTCATTGTTAGAGGAGAGAAAAACCTGGTATTTCTTTATCAAGGTCCCACAAAGACATCTTATTGAATCCAAAAGGGCTACCACAACATGAAGTGTTATACCTTCTAACTGATCGGTTTGGATATCATCACCAACCTTACTGTACCATAAAAAGGAATCAGTATGAAGCAAATTTGTACTTGAATTTATTTTTCTGGACGTTTTGGTTACTGTAAAACCTCACTGTCGAGACATTTTTAATTGCCATAGAAACCCATTGGTTTAGACACTCCCCTTAATATGGAACCTCATTTGTCCAGAAACTTTGACTTCTGTGGAACCTCGTTGTTTAACACTTTGATTACATCTGAATTCACTGGTCTTGATACAGCATATACTTTGGTTTCTGATAAAAATCATTAAAGTTTTCAAGATTAAAGAAACGGGACATGTCATAAGTGAAAAAATGTAACACATACAGAACTGTGATTACTATATTAAGTGTAACTTGGTTTTGGTAAGTGTTGATCTGTGTATATTCACTGCAAATTGCAAATAAAAATTATATTGTGGTCTGCTTAAATTTCAAATTATAGAAATCAGAAAGAGATATCAAACAAATCAATACCAGGAGAAGCTTTTCCTCTATTATAGACTATGAAGTTTCCTTAAACCACTCTGGTAGTGTTGTCACAGGTTTGAGTGGACAAAGTATTGAGATAAGTATACAGGGTATATTGCCTAGTGACTTCACACGTATATGTTTTACCTAAACATTGGCTGGCTGTCAATGATTTTCTGGCCAGTGCTGGTATTATTAAACACACGTGTAAGTGTGGTAAATACCAGTCAAATCAGCATGGATACCAGCCCCGAAGTTTTTATGAAGAATCTCTCGCCTGCATTTCACAACTAGTTTATCTCCCCCTAGTTTTAGAATTTAAGGATCAGATATCCAAGTGATCAAAATTCAAAGAGTTTATTTTTTCTAAATAATTCAATATTCTAGAGATGAGTGTCTGAGTCTACAGTCAAAAAGTCATAAATCCATAGTCCATTTATGTTTTTAAACCTTATTTTGAGCTAATTGTCTAAAAATAAGTTGCTTTCAAACTTCTTATGTCAAGTCAATCTAAGACAAATACTCAATTTTGAATTTATATTTAAAGTCATCTTTATTTAAGGGAGTTGGCATATCAAACAGAAATCACTTTCGTGACTTTCATAACTATATCTGGCTTTGTTATAATTTTAGTTTTATGTTAAAAATAATTTTGAACCAGTAGAACGTTTACAGTTACTGATGAGCCGTAAGGTTCAAGGTAATAAAGAACTGAACTGAACAGTGTTACACCTGACTGATAAGTTAATTGAAAACCATTGTTCACCTTGAGCTAGACTACAAAGTCCACACAGGGCACTGTTAACTACAACACATAAATCACCCAGTCAATACACACCTGACCTACACTGGCTCATGGATATTCATAAAGCTACCCTGATGAGTTTCTTAATTCATTTCAATTCCACTTCTTCTTTTAATATGGTAATGATGGGACAGGGATGAAAGGATTTTCATTTCTGTTTGGAATTGATATAGAAACTCCACAGTGATATTATATAATCCTTTTCAACATACGCAATGACCTTAAATTATTAAAACAACTTTGATGATCCTTATGAGTTTTAAAGTATAATACCATGAGAAAATATTTACAGCCAAGCATATTTGATCAAAAGCAAAATAAAGATATCAATGGTCCTTATGTATTTATCATATATTAAATGTCTGGTAATCTACAATTCATTGTTATGTTAACAGGACAACAGACACACTTACGCTGAGGACACAGCATGTACCCCCAAAAGGGTTCCAAATCCCCACCCTACACATGTGTGTCACTTTATTTTGGTAATCTTTCAACAGCTGTCAGTAAAGGATTATGCTCTGATGGTTGGTGGGTTTTTTTCGTAAGCAACAAGCTAAGCTAGTGTCAACTTCATTGGTGTTTCCCCGAACACTAGATTGCTGTATGATAATCTCCAGTGTCTGACAGACTTTGTTTATGACAACTCTCCAACCCGCCTGCTACCATTACAGTTAATACTCAGTGGTCTTAATGGTGAGGTTGTGACATGGGTATTTATACAGTCTATTCAATTAGTCTGTTAAATACTCACCAAACAAGAGGCCCATAGGGCATGTATCACTTACCTAGATTTTTATAGCTAGCAATGGTATGGCTATAGGTTGGAGATCTCAACAATTTCAAAGTCATGGCCCTAGGGCCGGGGCCAGATCCAAGAGTCAAATACTTATACCAGCGATGGTCTTCATGGTTATGGGGTGGGGATTTCAATCATTTCAAAGTTATGATCCAAGAATTAAGTTCCTAGGGGCGGGGCAAGACCCAAGGGTCAATTATGATATCATGACTGTATTTATCTCTTTATCCCAAGCATATATGGTAATGGGATGGGGATCTCAACTGTTTTAAAGTTATGACCCAAGAATTAAGCTTCTAGGGGTGAGGTCAGATCCAAGGGTCAATTATAATGTCATGATTGTGTTTGTTTCTTGATGCCCAGCAATGGTATATATGGTTATGGGGTGGGGATCTCAACTGTTTTAAAGTTATGACCTAAGAATTAAATTCCTAGGGGTGAGGCCAGACCCAAGGGTCAATTGTAATATCATATCATGATTGTGTTAGTCTCTGGATGCCCAGCAATGGTATACCTGATATGATTCCAATCAAATATGGCTGATATCTTTCTCTTTGTTCCAGAAAAGTCTCTTAAAGCAATATGGCCACATTAAGCCTTTTTGACAAAAAGTGAACTCCCAAAACAACTGAAATGGACAGCAGCTTATAAAGATAAGAAAACATTATTTGTGATATACGGTTAACTAGTGCAAAAGGTTAAACATAAAAAGTCCTTTATGAAAAACTTCTGTAAATTAACATTTTTATAGCATGATGCATCAGAGAATATTAATCTGTACAGAAGCACAAACAGGCCAATAAACCTTGTGAAATTTAATATTCCTATGTAAATAATCTTAAAACTAGGATAACAGTACACTTGAAGAAGAGATTAGTCATATACTCTAGGTAGGGAAATGAACAAACACATGGTTAAATATGGACATAACTACTTAGTCTGTCTGTGACATTGTAGCTTGGATGAATATGAACATCAGTTTTAACCAAATGAGCTTTAAATGTTAACTTAACCTCACCAGATTTTGAAGCTGGTTCGAGTATTTTCTCGTTTAGAATTACTT